GAACCTCCCAGAGATTCTTGAAATTCCAGGGACAGAATGCAAATTTCCTTTATTTAAAAAGATGTCACTTGTAGCTGTGAATTATGGCATCTGTGCTTAGGTATTTTAAGGTTTCTTAGGCTGCTGTATGCATGTAAGAAAAGTTGTTACACAAAAACTCCTCTACCTCAAATTTTGTTTTCTGTATCTGACCTTCCATCTCTCTGGACTAATTCATCCCTTCTCTATCTTGTCCTGCTACTTAAGTATTTTCAAACCTGCACTTTTTCCAACACTGTAATATAGTGGCAAATATTACAAACACTCAATGCTACTAAAAAAACCCTGTTGTAAAACTATCGAAATCCCATTGGCTGCTTGAGATTGGGCAGGATGGTAAAGAACTGGAAGCTCAATAAATGTCACATTAAACAAATCAGATTTGAGGGAGATGGTGTGTGTTCTTTGTAAATAAAACACTTTAAAAACTGACCCTGTAGTGATTTAACAGGAAACTCTTCTGCAGGCTCAGTAATATCTGACAATATTTACAATGCAAAGTGTTGCCAATATGCAAAACATTTATGTGAGCTTGATTCTTTGCCAAGGTGTGACACATTAGGGCTACTGCATTTCTCTAGATGCAGATGTTGAAATGAAGCCTTTTCTTTTCCTCTCAGGATTTTCAACAGATTTTACTGCTCTGAAAACAAAAACTACTGCCAGCCTACTTATCAGAATATATAGAGACTACAGGAAAACTAAAGGCTACATGTACACCAAAAGTTATTTCCTTGTAACTCAGTTATAATTCCATCACAAAATAATTATTTGTCAAATGGTTCTTTAGTTGGTGAACTAGATTTCTGACTTTGTTTTCTACATATGAGAAGTTTTAACTCCCTTGTTGTGTTTGTACACAGAGAGTCACTGAGAATGACAGGGAGCTCTGGAGGTCTCCAGCTTTCTGCTCAGCACTTATTTTCAAAACAAAAAAATGGTTTCCTTGAATCTTGCCATGGTGTAGCTTGATCTGTCTTTGTGTATCAAAGGAGACAGCAGCTATTAAATAATTAATAACCATAATCTGAGCTATTAAGTATTATGTATCTGGCATGTTGAATTAATCTGCTATTTTTACAGGTTAAAAGACTGTTATTTACGGTCTTAGGCTGTTCCTGTGCTGCCTGGTGTAGCGTGAGAGTCACTATTCGAATGGAATAAACTCTTCTCTTGGAGAAAAATGGCAGACCTGCCTGCTCTCTGTTTTTAGTGCTTGCCCTGACTTATTCAGAGAAGGAAGAGAAACAGCAAAGTAGAGGATACAAATCCCATCAGGTGATGTTTTATAAAAACTAGTCTTGTGCTAGTAGTTTTTTGTAATCTCAGCGAAACATATCTATTATTAAGGATATGCATATTATGTGATATTTAACATAATTAATTTGTATTTGTATTCCACTATACTGTAAACAATGGCAGAAGAAACCAGACAAACCAAGAAAAAAAAAAAAGAAAAAAAAAGATGCGAATGCAACTGTTAACAGATGCTAAGATCCCTTAACTGTCCTCCTTTCTCTCTGATACATTTACTTTCAATCTGGTGAGGCTTTACAGAATAACATAGGAGTCAAAGTCAACACACTTGGTCTGACAACATCTAGGACAATTAAGAATGACAGTAAGTATGTTTTTCATAGAGTGACTAAGAATGGTAATAAATATTTGAGGCAAAGAGACATTTTAAGACTGTGTAGGGTCATTTTTGGAAGAAATAGGTTTCAAATTGCATAGTCAGCTACCAATGGGTTGCTAGTATATGTGTAAATGCACATATTGTTCTGCAAAGAAAGAAATACTGTATCTTTATTGGTATCTTTAATCCTGCCTTGTTATTCTGAAAAAAAAAAAAAAAGTAAAACTGGGAAACACAAAGTTAGAACATGATAAGCTGGGTTCCAAGTTTTTAGAACAAAATCTTCCTACTAGCAAAGATCTAGTTAACAACTGATTTTAGAGCTAGAAGGCTTAAAATCTTGAGATGCTAGGTTGTTTCACAGACTGCAGAGAGCAGGTCTGATGCATGTCAAAGCAGAACCTTCCTGCTGTATTTCCTGTCTTGTCTTTGGCTAGAGCACACATTTCTTACCAGGCAGGATACAGACTTACAGGTGCAATCTTGTAAAGCATAAAAAGCAGCAGAGTTGACATGGAATTGTCAGGTAATGGAAGGAAACTGTAGGTTGTGTCTCAGTTCTTACAAAGCCCTGAGTTAGAAACTATATACAATACCTTATATAGGTTGTGTGTAATTCTCAACACTATTCCTCAGTCAGTAGTAAAAGATTAATCACAGTATTTTATACCTTAAGTATGTTATAGGTTACAATCCTAGCAGTTCCAGGGAGGGAAAGTCCTTCCTCAGCCTTACCTCAGAGCTGTTCTTATCAGGCAGTTGCACCATATTCATTCAGAGGAAACTCGTACGGGTTAAGGACTGAGTCCTAAATTGTCACAGATGAAAGATGACATGTGGGAAGATGGTACAATGAAGATGCAATGTACAGCTTTAAATAAATATATTCATTGAGTAAATATAGATCTTTGCAGAGTAGATGTCAAACTCAGCAAGTCACTTTGGGCTTCCTTTGACATCAATGAAGAACAAGTCAGTTGTGTCTGTGGAGGTTGGGAGTGGGATTGCCCGATGAAGCCCCTTCTTAGTAAATAATGTAGAAATGATTGTAAAAGTTTGTAGAAGACTTTAGAAGAAATTTCAAAAACAAGGCAGACTGTGGAAGAAGGTATGAAATCAGCCATGGTGATGGGATTTTGAGGAGGTCCTTCTTAATGGTCCAGACTCCAGATTAGGCAGAATGTTTTTTGTGAGCACAATTGCATCAAAGAAAAATGTGATTTGTAAAACAGAGCCACAAATACTACACTTGGAAACCGAGTTAGACTTCTACATGAGGATATCTTTAATTATTCAGTTATGGCCTCCAACTCGGATACAGCTGCACTCTAGATGAGCAGTTTTTCCTTGCTTGTGACTATACTTACTTACTTGTGACGTGAGTACCACTTGGATGAAGTTAACATAAAAATACTGTAGTTGTGCTCTTGCCCAAAGGAAAATAGATAATAAAAGCAATTTCCTCTGTAGTTGATGATTATTCTTAGAAATAAAAATATCACATGAATCTTTCCATAACAGAAGAGTCTTCTCTACATTAATAATTTTGCCTCTTAACAGTGACTCTCTGTATATTGTTTCCTATTTCCAATGTTCTTAGGATTTTATCACAGATTCACATTATTAGCTTTCATCTAGCAGTTCTGTTCTGATAGTATCTTGACCATACCCTTGTTTTGAGGGCCACATTAAATGAAGAATATTAATCATTCAGCATTTATCATTACAGATAGCAGAAAAATCTAATACAGATGAACTAACTACAGTGAGAGCTGGTTGGCTTAATAGTTTGGGGGTTGTATGATTCTTTTTATATGATCAAATGTCAGGTTGTCAGTTCAGGTCAAAGAACGCAGGTTGCACTGGAAATAACCATCTCCAAAAGACTGTAGGGGCTACTAAGTTAAATAACACACTCTTTTTGAACATTTCAGAAATCAGTTTTTCATTGTTTCAGTTAGGTAGGGACATCTGGAGGGAACAGGTTCTATAATGTTCAGCAACAAGAAACACATTTTTGGAATTCACAAATCAAAGAATTTCGGAAAATTGACAAAAGAAATAAAGTGATTAGGAGAAACAAACTGAGGAGTATAAACCAAAATAACTTTATAACAGTCTCCTAACAGTGATGGCTATTAATACCGTATTACGGGGCTCACACATTAACCAGGTATCTCTCTGAATGTGCAGCCAGCTAAATGTAATTTTAAAAAGCCCTTTTGACATTAAAAAAAAACCCCACATTTATCTAAATGTGCAAGCCCTTTGAAGAAGTGATCTCTAACTTCCCAGGTTTTCAAGAATTTCCTTCTTTTAGTCAGTGCTATATAGATGTAATTTCCAACATTCAGCTCTTGTGACTTCCTCTAAAGACATTATTTGAGAACTTCAGAGGCTAAATACAGTCCTGAACTGTAATAAAACAAGAATTCAGACAACAAAATCCCCATGAACACCACATCTTGCTTTATTTTTTTTTTCTTCTCATTTTCTTTGTACTTCTCGAAGAAGTTCCCAGTTCCCTGAACACCCAGCTGACAACAGGCTCTGAAAACCCGGGGTATTTGGGGATTTTTACCCATTTTAATGGTGGTGAACATCAGCCCCTTACAAATTTGTGATTTTGGTGAAACTGCATTTTATATCCCAGTTTCACAGAAACTGCTCTCTGTGGTTACAGGTGCCTTACGGTAAAGTGCACTGGTCCCTGGGGAAACATGTTCCCCTCAGTGAAAGTCTATTCAGCATCACCACAACCCAGCTGACTCACATGTAATCTCTATTGCGATTAAAAAGGCTCATGAAGAAGCCGCACCACCCCCGAGGTTGCCTCTCTGCTGCACGGGCAGCCCCATCCGCCAAACCAGTCGCCTCACCACCAGCAACCAGCTTGTTGAAACGGTGACGAATTCTAAATAAATAAATAAATAAGTGAAGGAAAAAAAGAAAAAGAAAAAAAAATAAAAGAAAGGCTTAGCGGCGATCGCGCACGGCTGCTGAGTCACCCAGAGCAAACAGGAGGTGAGCGGCGCCTCAAAGGCAGATCGGGACTTCCCCTCCTTCCACTTCCCTCCTAGGAGCACTGGGACGAGCACCGGGACCTCTCAGATCGGCCACCCCGCAGAGCAGGAAGCCCCACGCACCAACGGTCGCAACGGTCCCTCACGCAGCGAAGGACGCGGCGTTGGGGGGCGGTGCTCGGGAGCCGCGCGGCAGTTGTGATTGGGAGCGACTCGCAGACAGACGGTGCAGGTAGCCAATCAGGAAAGGGATACGCCATCTCCGCGCGTGAGGCGGGCGGGCGGGAGGCCTCCCGAAGCTGTCTGGTCTGTGGGGAGGAGCTGAGCGGCCACCTCGGTGAAGGAGCCGGAGCCGCCACGCCATGGAGGACGTGCTGCCCTCGGGCCTGCTCGAGATCTGCCTGCTGGTCGGCGTGCCCGGCGAGAGGCTGCGGGCGCTGTTGCAGGTGAGCCGGAGGCGGCCTAGAACTCGCGGTTCCCGCTGTGGCCGTTTAACGGCTCCCGATCGCTCCGTGTGTGGCGGTGGCTCTGCCCCTACGGGGTTTTAACCTGGGTTCGAGCTGAGTGAGCTCTCCACTTCGGTAAAAGTGCTGTCTTCCCTTGTTGCCACCTTCTAGTATCGCAGAAATGCTTTAAAAACTTTTTACCTCCCGCTGCCTTCACAGATCAGCAGCAAAGTAACTCACTAGAGACTTAAACTTTTTGTGGGGATCTGAGCTGAGCAGTAACATTATTTAAGTGAAAGCAGCCAGCGAAGGGCATGAGCAGTGCATAGCCCTCACTGGGTTTTATCTCATTGCCCACTTTGTAGTGGGGGTTAAAAGTTAAAGGAACAAAGCCTGATGGTTTTTATCCTTGTGACAACAAAAAGTGCTAAACCCAAAAGGGTTTAGCCCTGGTTTTAGCCTGCGTTTGCCCTAGTATTCAAATTTGCCCCAACCTGCTCAGCTCATGTAAGATAGAAGTCAGAAGGTGGGCTTCTGTTCTGAACTGACTTATAATTTGTTTACAGCAATCAGCATCCAATATGAACGAACATTGAAAGTTCTATCCTGGGCTGTATTATATGGAGCAGCAGGTCTCTTTAGGGCTGTCTGTGCCCGCCGAGCTTCTCCTCCCACAGATCTTGCTTGAACTCGAATTTGGTGGCACACCCCAGTGACATTTGATTACAAAGGTCTTTGTAAGAATAATTGCTGCTCGCTCACTTGGGATCCAGCGCTGGCAGCATTGTAATTCATATAGAATAAGGGTGATTCAGTTTATGTAATGTCACTCATGTAAGCTGATTCGGGAAGTAGTCGGGCTTATAAAAGCCACCACCCACCTGTTTTGAAATTGGTATGTGTGTTTTTGCAACATTTGCTTGAGAAGCAAACCTAAAACGGGTGCTTTCTATCTTTTTCTGTATGCTCCAAGCTTCACTGCTTACAATAAGAACACTGAAACACAAACAGGAAATTGGCCTCCAAAGATGGAAATCTGTTCTGCTCACATTACCTGGTTTGAATCCACTCTCCGCTCCAGGTAGCAAGTGTACTGGAAATGAAAATAATGGCTGAGCGTGTTAGTGTTACTGTAGTCACATCAATGCAAGCTGTTGTACTGCAGTGATTTTTAGTCATGATCTTAGGGCAAATTTGAAGTTATTTATTTATTTATTTGCACCACATAATTTTTGTTCCAAGCACTAGTTGTGTGACAAAATGATGACATGTAGTTTGTGTCTGGCAAATGATACCTGATGATATCTTACAGATAGAAGAGCAAGGTGAAGAAAATGAAATCACTTAAAAGCTTGGCCATGGAAGCATGTTGTGCATTGAAAATTTTCTTCTGCTGTGCAACCATTAAGTCAGGGGGAATGGGAGATTTAAACCGCTCCCAAAGCAGGAAAAGACTTTTATGGCTGACATGTTGCCAATGTGGATTTCAGGAAGATGAACCGAAGTGCACGATTTTGTAGGCAAGCTTAGGAGACTTGTAGATCTTTCGTATGCTTTTTTCCCCCCATATGTGTTTGTTATACGCAAGCTATCTGTCATCCTCAGATCTCCCAATGGCTCCATCACTGGGCTCTGTATCTACCACAGTCATCACTGCATGTGTCTTGTGCATGCATCTTGTCTCTTCCAACATCTCTTGATATTTTTGTTTTTGTAACCACTAAACCATTTTATTTTGCTGCAATAGTCCACTGGAAATGAGCTGTCATGCTGTGCACGTTGTGATCAAACATTAATCAGCAGCAGGCACTTGTGGCAGTGAAAACCAACCACATATTGGCCTGTGTTATCAAGAGCCTAGCTAGCAGGTAAAGGAAGTGATTATTCCCATTTACCTAGCACTCCTGAGGCACACTGGGAATACTGTCCATGTATCTTGATATAGAACTCCCAACGAGCTGGAGGGAGGCCAGAAGAAGGAGCCCCAGGCATCTGATGGATGGAGAACGTGTTGGAAAAGTGGCAACTGAGGGAGCCTGGAGAAGAAGGTGCTAAAAAGAGCTCTAATTGCGATTTTCATTACTTAAAAACAATGTGGGAGCTTACAGAGATGGCAGGTTCTTTTTAGTGGTGGAAGAGCAAGCTGCATCAAGGGAAATTATAGGGTATTAGGAGAAAAAAAAAATATCCAGAGAGTGATTAAGCATTAGCACAACTTCCCCAGGGAGGCTTTTGCATCTCCTTCTTGAGAGATTTTTGAAACTTCACTGGATGAGGCCTGGAGCAGCCTGTTCTAACTCTGAAATTATCACTGCTTTGAGTAAAGGGTTGGACTAAAGGTCTCTGGAGGTCCCTTCTAACCAGATTTTTTTCTGAGATATTTTAATATTCTCTGCCAAATTATTCCTGAAAGAAGTAACTTATTTTAATTCAGGATGTCATAGAAGAATATTTTTTTCAGCGACGGGAAGAAAAGAATGAGATGGTGGGTAACAGCTGAGTTCAACTCTATTCTGTGCTTTCAGCACATTGTTTCTTGTTTGAGTCTATAATAACGTGCTCACTGTAGCCAGCCTGTTGTTATGTGTGTCCTGTATTGCACATAGGAACATAATAAAGTGGTGCTAGAATATGATCACTGATGTGGGGGAATCTTGTGAACTTACAGGGGAAAAAAAAGGCATCACTGTTTGTGAGGAAAGTCTGCTTCAAAGACATTTAACAAAAAGAAGCTTCTGAAAGAGAAGTGAAGGAGTGGCAGTGGAAGCAAAGAATATAGAATGTTCAAAGAGTAACAGAGACAAGTGAAGATTGTTCTGTGGCAGTGTGTCCCATTCCCCTGCATTGTCCATGGAAGTTGATACTCAATGACTCAAATGCTGACAAGTGGGTCACTGGGTCAGTAGCAGCGCTGGCAATGCTGTTCTGTGGCGAAGTTGGAGTACAACAGAAGTATTAAGCACCAAGACATCAAGGACCTGCTCTTTTTTGAGGCTATTGCACTAGGAGGCCATTAAATCGCTGGCTGTTTTCCAGCCCTTTTTTAGAAAGAGCTGCCTTCCGTGCAAGTCAGGGTTTGTCTTGTCAAAGCAACTTTGTATTAAACCCTCTGTAGGGCCAATCTGCCAGGAAAGAGTGATGCTGTTCAAGGAGGTCTGTGTTTTTCTTACTTAACAGCCTCAGGGCTGAATCTTAGTTCTTAATTTTCTTCCGGTATTTAACAGCATGTTTTTTTTAGGAGTGATCATGCTGGATTTATCTCTGTTCACAGTTTCTTCGGTTGAAACAGACGTCAGCTGTCAATGAAGGAAAATGATGCTTGAAACTCCTAGTGTTGGGGTGTGGCACTGAGTATTCTAAGTTGCAACATGCTTTTAAAAAGCTATCATTATCTTTTAAATAACCCAATGGATATAGTGTAGTACCGCTTTACAAAGCTGCATTTTATGGCATTTTGTAGCTTTATACGAGTGTGCAAAAATTCTCATGGCCTTGTATCTTCCAGCTTACTAATACTGTTTATTATAATACTTCTCTTTGTTGTTACTGCATGGACTTTCTCAATTGCCTTATAAAGTTAAAATATTGTCTTGTGAAACTTTTCCTGTAAAGCTTATTCTGAATAAACATGTAGCTTCTCCTAAAATGGAACAAAGGCAAGGCTTATCTAGGGAGTTCAGCTTTCTCTGCTTGTTATCATAGATTTAGTGACAGATTTCTCTTGCTACACGCTTTTTATTGTAGATATAATTTATGCTGAATAATTTTAGGGTTAGAGAGCAAACAGGAACAGTTGAAAAAATTAACAGTAGGAGTATCAGCAAACATGTATTAATATGTGTGTATATATATGTATATCTATACTTTTATAGAGTACTCAGAGGAAACCGAAAAGCCTCCCCGCTCTTGATCCAGAAGTTCTTTCTGTATTTGTGCCTCCATTTATCAGTAAAGATGATATTCAGGTGATTAATACAAGTAGTAATAACTTGAATAAAAGTAAACGTCGATCTTTCCGAAAGAAGAAAGAGAGACCAAAGATTGAAAATGCGAAGAGTCTCAATGGGGACCAGAAAGCAGCTGATACCGAAGAAATCACTGTTCCAAAGGACATTGACCTTATTGGATTGCCACAGCTGTGTTTCCCAGGTACTGTGGGGTTCTCTCTTCTTAATGAGCACATTTGATTATTATTTTCTATAGATATATTTAAAAAGGCCCATCTGTGGTGTTTTTCCATTTAAAATACAAAATTATTATGTAATATTTTGGTTGCTTCAGTAAGGTGTGGCTTACAACCTTCATATAATAACTCGTAGATTAAGTGATTATAGCTGTGCATTTTAATCTCTTAAAATAAGATGTATCTCTTGAAATGAAGTGGAAATGTGCAATACTTGTCATGACTAATCATTTTCAAGTGCCTGTCAGTAGTTATAAAAATCTTCTGCTTTAATTACAGGAGGGCTTTATATAACTTCTGAATCAAAAGAAGACCACATCCATTTCCTGGTCTTCACAGATGTCTGTGGTAACAGAACATATGGTGTTGTTGCACAGTACTACCAGTCTATACAAGTATGTTATTTGACTTATGTTCTTATTAAAACACATTAAAAGATATAAAACACACTGAGAATAATGACAAGTTTGATTTCTGAACTTAGTTAGCAGTTATGCTTTTATGTTAGTAGGAATAGTAAACAATTTGTAGTTTCTATTGGCACACTTTCTTAGTGCAGTGCTGATGCTATGTACTTGGGAACAACTGCTATGGATTTATGGAATTTTGACTTAATTTTTGAAGAGCAGGCTTTAGCCTTTGGGTATGTTTTTAATTCTAAATGTTTGTATGATGATTGTACGCTGTGTTCTTTTGTGCTAAAGGTTTTTTTAATACATATATTGAAGTCTGAAGTAGGCTGAATTTTTTTTCAAGATCTTAAGGGGGATAGGCATCCAAATCCCCTTGAAATTTAATGGAAACTGGATATGGTATCCCTTATGTTCTCCTGAAAATACCAGCTATAAATTCGTTATTAACGTCAATACATTAATCTGTAGTTTTCTTGTAGGATGGGTGGATTTCTCCAAATGGGCCAGCCCAGTGGGATTCTGTGCAGACTGGGAAAACACTTGGCTATTTTGTACCGTTTGCCATTTGTGTTATATCCAGATATCCTTATTTCAATGCCCTCAAGGACTGCCTGTCTTGGTAAGAATCACTTTCATTTGTATTTCTGCTAGGTTTCTGCATGTTTTAATACATAAGTTTGCATTATGTGTGTGATAAGTGCATGATGGTAAAACTGAATTTAAGATTGCAGGAGATGTGAGCAAAGGACTTGCCCAATTCTGTGCCACATGCTCTAGGTGACTCTGCATGTGCAGGGGGGTAGGGCTAGATGATCTCTAGCCCTAAGGTTGGGCTAGAGGGTTGGGAAGGTCCCTTCCAACCTTAAGGATTCTATGATTCCAAGGAGGGGAGAAATGTCATGTGAATGATACCTAGACAAATAAGAAAAAGTAGGTTGTAAGTATGAGGGAAAATTCATATGTTCTTCTTTCAAAATGAATTAAAATCTCCTTACACCAGAGAACCTGTCTTTATAGATTTGACTATTACTGCATAATGTGCTTTTATAGACCTTCTGTTGTCCAAAGAAACTGCTCCAAACTTCAGAGCTCAGGGACATTTCCTGGGTCAGCCTGACTCTGTAGCATAGTGACATCTAAGCACTCATTTCCCTGCCCCATGTACCTGCTTCTCCCCAGGCTGAGGGCTGCAATGCTCGCTGATACTCTCGGGTCTGAGTGAGGAGAGCTTGGTGCACAGCAGCACCTTCCTACATTTTTTTTTATTATTATTTTTTATTTTTAAAAAAAATTGACCAAAACTACTTTTAGCAGGAGCAAATGCACTGCTGACATTCATGCTAAGGCTGCTTTCATTTTGAAAGCCTTAGGAAATGTTTAATGTGGAAAACGGGTTTTGACGTGATGGAAACTGGTCGTTTACAAATATGTGCAAGTTTGTGCAACTTAGTAAAATAAAAAGGAAATGTGTCTTCTGCCCACATTACTTTTTCTACTTTTTAAGTGGAAATGTTATTAGCCTTTGGTGTTGCAGGAGCTGATTCATTGCTGCCTTTTTTAAGTCTGACACCTCCAGTTGGTGCTGATCTGTATGTGTAATTGTGAGAGTTATATAGCTGACCTACTGTGGAAGCAAAACCTTAAATTGTTTTGCCTTAAGTATACTTTGCCTTTATAAACAGTCTCTATAATAAGATTCATGCTTCTTTTATGCTGTGAACTTAATCTCTTTGGGGGCTTATGGTGTGCTAGCTTTTCACTGGGTAGGAAATGGCACAGCTTGAGCTTTGGAGCTGTGGTGCCTGTTACTACTTTGTATAGTAAACTCAAAAATGAGTTATTTCTTTGAAATGAGACATTTCTGAACTGGGAGATTTTCTGGCAGGCAATTTGTGAACAGATTTCAAGCCCGCTAAGGGAGAGGTGGGAAAGTGTTCCGGAAAAGCAAGCGAGGAAAATTCCAGAGGTTACAAAAACATTTCAGTGTATCTTGTATTTAGTCAGAGCAAGATAGGAACTAGCTTGAAAGAAACCTGAGGGTTGAGTCAGTTCTCTTGAGGTGCAAGTATCTGCCTCAGGGTGGGTATTTTAATCATGATGATTAAGCATCTGTGCTTTAATTGTCCCAAATAGGTTTGCACATACTCAAAACGTTAGCCCCTGAGCCAAATGCTGTGGGTGGCTTTTCCCCTTGAGCCAAATTGGTACTGGTTAGTAAGAAGGGTTCAAATTTATCAATAATGTACCTGCTGAGTTCTAGATAACTTATAAATATGTGAATAATTAGAGGAGAGCTGTACAGTAAAACTCTTCCATGTTAGTGCTGTTTCCTGGCCATGTAACAGGGAAATCTGTTGTATGAGTGCATAGCTCTCCTCCATCCATAATAGCAGCTGTAACTGGCTCTAAGTTTGAAGATTTGATCAAAGTATATTTAAGTGAAACGAGTGAGGAGATAGTGAGAAAGCTGTTTGGGGCATTCACATTTCTTGCTGCACTGGAAATTCAGGAGATGATGTTTACACATTATTTTTTAGGTTTGTATATATATATATATTTATTTTAAAGTTGTTATCACATTTTTTCTCTGATACCATTTGATAAGCTTAGAATGCCTGCCCTTGTTTTTTTGTGTGTGTGCATGAACAAAGTGCAGAATAAATTTTACTTTGCCAGAATAAATATAAGTGGGAGGAGAGGAAGGGGTGGGGAGGCAGTATTTTTATTTGTTTTGGTTACATTATGTTTTTTCTTGTGGCACAAAGGAATTGGCGACTGGGATATGTGGTTGCTCTGCATGGAATACAAGCAACTATAATAAATAAGACTTTGGGGATGTCTTTTAGGGATAGTGTACCGTATAGTTGGTGATTCTTCACCTTTTTGTAACCTAACGAAGTTTTAGTGTTGTTCTCCTGTAAACTGGAAAGAGTATTAGATATTTTTGTTTCAGAGACCTTAGGTATAATCAGGGGGCAATGGATTATAAACCTAATTAATTAAATGCTTTAATTGACGAGGAATGTGCCCTTGAATAATAACAATTTCAACAAAAAGTCTTATCTTGGTATGCTTCAGTGCTGTGTTGTGTGATGCTTAAACTGATTTATCATTTTGCAAGTCTGGGGATTCACAGATGTGAGGGGGTGGACTTAAAGCCACCTATTTGTAGTGTGTAGCCCTTTCCTGGTGCAAATTAGTGAGGAAAAGTGTGATTAGTGATACTATGGGCCTGATGTTGAAGTAGCTTCTGAAGGGGCTCTGCTTTCACTCAGGATCCCATTATAGCCAAAACTTGCATATTTTTCTAGAGTTCTGGAAAAATCATAAGCTTGTTTTCTTCAGGACCGGCAGTGAACAGGACTGCTCATAAATGGGATAGTGCTTGATAGAATCATCCAAAGTATTTTATCATCCTGAGCATTCCCAAGTAAAAATCAGGTTTCTAACCTTTTCCAAATGGTGGAGTGTAATAGAAAGCACAGTTGAGTATCGTCTGAGACCAGACAAAGATACAGAGGCTAGGTCAAACTATAAATCCTTTAAGCTGCCTCCGGCCTCAGGGGGAACTTTCAAACTTCTGTCAAAATGATCAAAATCCGTGTCACTACTAACTTGTCAATTATAAGATTACAGAAAGAGCCATTCTTAGGTGTTTTTGCTTTCTGCAGTTTTTTTCTGCAGACAGTTAATAGAGGTAATGGAGAGTTTATAAACTTCTTAGCTCCCTGCTTGAACGTTTCACAGATTACTTCATTTATAACATGAGACATTTGCAGTGCTGAGCTGTCAGCTGCTATTAGGCAGCGTTCGTAGGCAAAGTAAACTGATTAAGAAGCTCTTGCTGTCCCTCTGTAAAGTTACTGCTTATTTGGTGTCAGGCTCAGGTTGTTTTTTCTTAGAGAATTTTAAAATTATTTGCTCCCTGCTCTCCCTTCCCATACAAGTACCTGACGGACTTTTGGGAAAACGTCTAGTAGTCGCCCCAGAGCTGTCTGAATTTAGGAATGGGTTTAATGGGTTTGTCTAACCCATTAAAAAGCTTAGTGATATAAAAGCAAAATATTTTGATTCAGGAATTTAACTTCCATCACAAATGTGATGTCCTGGATTCCTACATACCTCTTTTGATGTAATGGGCTGCTTTTTACACTTTTCTTTTTTTCATCCCTTCTAGACCCTTTCCTAGATATTCTTCAAATATTCTTTTTTAGGAAATCGGTAAAAGTATGAACCAAAATGAAACATCAAGGCCTTATATGACTTTAAATATGCATACTTTATATAAACTTTAAATAATCTTTAAATGTGCAAGCTTGTATTTCTGTTTTTAAAGAGATATAAATATATAGCTATCTTGTGCTATAAGTATGCACATGGAACTTATTGAGTAAAGCATTGAACCTTTAAAACTACAAATACTTAGTATCTTAATTGTTATGTTTTACTAATGTTTTTGGATGTACCAGTTTGTGTATGTCTGATGTTGTATATGTTTAAGTTGTCATGAATGGGACTTTTAATATACACCTTTAGACCTTTATGGCTTTGAAATAGCTAAGGTAGTAGAGCTCCATAACAGAAATACATGACAGTTTTTCATAACCACACGTGTTCTTTGTGTGGGTGGGAATGCCATGAAAGAGCAGTCTTCATGCAGGCCTCACACTGCGTTTGCTTCTTGCTTCACAACCCTCTGCAGTTAAGCTTGTCTTTCATACCTACAACTTGTATTTCGTCTCTGACTCTTTTTGTCAAAGCAGTTATTTGAGTGGTGGATGCTTTAATTCCAGAGCTGACGTGTGATGTGATCGGAGACTCCATGACACTGTTGCAGCTGTGGGTGTCTTGCACTCAAAGCAACATCTACATGATGCTTCATCTAGCTACATTCCACCACAACTCTCTTGCCACCATGCAGCCCAGTATTCTAGATTCACCCCCTGATATATATAATAAAGTGGTATCTCATGCACAGAAAAAAAAATTGAAATGTACTTTCTTTGCTCTATTTAATTTTAATGCTGCTGCTGTGCTGAAAGCATCTAATAAATTAGAAATTAATTAGCTGGAATAATAACTTCATTGCTTGCAACAATCCTCTTAGTTCTGTGTTCTCAGCAAAAAAGTTCTTGTTTACATGTTAATAAACAATATGCTATCATTTACTTTCAGCTTACTAGTGCAGCTGCGACCTATCAAGAATTTTGATGTGGATGAGCATATAAAAGAATTTGCAGCAAAGCTATTTTTAATACCCACTCCTCCTCCAGGACCACTCCACTTGGTAATTACTGATGCTGACTTTCATAATTGCTTTAACATTTCGTGTTATAAAGTACTGGAATGCTGTTTTCTGTAATTGGAGAAAATTCTTCCCTGTCAGATCAAGACATTTTACCCACTGGCATAAAAACTGATGTTAATATCTATGCTCTGAAAATAAAGGCTATGTGTTTTTAGTAGATCACATCATGTTTACAGGGTGCAGGGTTGCATCTTGACATAGGAATGAGTTATTCTGGTTAGTTTGTAGTATCTAGTGCAGAGACTTTTGCTCATACTATCATTTTTAGTTTGAATTTTATCAATACTTTGATTTCTCAATTGTATCTATACATACAAATCCTGTTATTTGGCTGTGCTTATGAAAAGTGGATTTTACAACTCCGTTTAAAGAACATTTTGTTATTTTTGTAGGCTTTATTTGCCAAATGAGTTATGATAATGAAAGGAAACAAAGTCCATATTAATCTTTTAGAACCAGTTCTAATGTGTTTTTAATGTCCTTCTGGAACAGGCTGCCCAGGGAGGTTGTGGAGTCTCCTTCTCTGGAGGTCTTCAAAACCCACCTGGATGCCACCCTGTGCCACATGCTCTAGGTGTGCCTGCTTGAGTGGGAATGTTGGACTAGATGATCTCTGGAGGTCCCTTCCAACCTTGAATATTCTGTGCTTCTGTAATATTTCTAAAGGTTCTGTTCCATTTTTCTGTAGTATGCAAATATCTGTGTCTTTGCTCTCAAGTAATCTGAATGTTTTGTAGTTGAAATGAAAATTATGAATACAATATGTTGTGAGAACACTTTCATTAAAGTAGTAAATGGAAAACATCTCTTATAACAGGTATTTAATATGAAACCGCTTCAAATAATAATTCCTTCACGAGAGGATCCAGACAGCCCAATTATTGACCTGGATCTTCATCTTCCGTTACTGTGTTTCAAGCCAGAGCAGGTTTTGCAGGTAAAATCAGCTAACAAATACTTCAAAATGGTTTTGAGTTTGATAATACTGCCAAATTCAACTTATCTGTGATTAATTTTATAAAAATTCCTTAAGTGGACATTATTTATGAAGATATGAGGTAGTTGTTAAAAGACAGAACTTGTAAGGCTGAGTTTCACTCATAGATAAAACATTGTACGTATATTGTATTTTACAGGTATAACTCTTTAACATCTTTTATTCTATTGCTTCCAGATTATGACCTGCATTTTAACTGAGCAGAGAATTGTGTTCTTCTCTTCTGACTGGGCCCTGCTGACACTCGTGGCTGAGTGCTTTATGTTGTATCTCCATCCTCTCCAGTGGCAACACACTTTTGTGCCTATTCTGTCTCGTCAAATGCTGGATTTTGTAATGGCCCCGACATCTTTTCTTATGGGATGTCATACTGATCATTTTGAAGAAGTTAGCACGGTATGTTGCAGAGTATTACTACTCTGGCTGTTCACTTGCAGCACATTTGTTGGCCCCCTTGCTTCTTTCAGGTGCACCTTAAAATCTGTTTTTGTCATTTGAGCCCATAAGAAGTGAAGAAATTAAAAAAACTATAGATGTCACTGCTGGCTTATTGGAAAAAGCTTATTACTGTAACTCTTGGGTTTGTGTTGTTTCCAGAATAATATATTCCTGAATTCAATGAGTTCAGGTTTTGCTCTGGCTTCAAAAACTCTGCTTACATGTAATTTTCCTGTGAACAGCTTCCACTTGAATCACTGAGGCTGATTTTAATTCAAAATGGTCTGTTGGATGATTTAGGTGCCTTTTCCAGACACATGGATTAAGAATTGAGCATAAGTTTAGAAAAGCTCTTACTTTCATTGCCTAAGGAGTACGTAAGGAAGGAATAGATGCTTTTACAATAGAAATATATTTATAATTATTCTATTTTCATTCATTAAAAGGAGGCTGAAGATTTAATTCTAATCAATATTGATAATGGGGATATTATGCATTCAAAAAATCCTGAGGAGGAGCCTGAAATTCCAGATGTTCCAGCACAAGCAGCAGAAACTTTCATAAAAAGGTAAAAAGAAACTGCAGCTGTGTTTATCATAGTGCATATCCTAGTCTCTCTTCATCAAGGTCTTATTTTGCATTATTATTATTTAATTCATATAGAAAATACTACATTCGATGACAAAGATTACTTGTAATTAATACACTGGAAACTTTAATCATTATTCTGTAATATCAATAATGCTGCTTTCTTTTTAGTTACAGATAAAGATTTTTTTCTGAACTTTGCTTTTCTTTTTTACAAAAGACCTAAGGCACCATGATCTATCTATGTGCACCAGTAAGAATTAAGAGTTATTTTTGTCAACACTTGTAAATCCATTTTTGTACTTTTTATAGTTGAAAAGTGTGTGAGATCTTTAAGATTTTTTTTTTTGTTGTTTCTTTATAAGAAGTGATGGGAGAAAAAGGGAAAAAAAAAAGGTATTAGCATGTAATTTTGATAATTTCCTTCTTTTTTTGTGTAGAGTGAAGGCTCTTCAGCTGCATTATGATCTAGAGCTCTGTCATCTCAGTGCCAGCACAGACCTTGGTGAACTCCAGATGCGTAGAAGGGCTTGGCAGCAGAAACTCAACAGTGAAGTCCAGCAGACTACTTTGCAGTTAATTGTTAATATCTTCAGGTAAGGGGTGCAGTATTGTGGTTTTTGTTTATTTATTTATTTTTTAATTGCAGAAGACCATGAAACTTGTTAAAACGGACACTTCCACTGTCACTGACAATGCTATTACTTTGGCTATTATTTTGGCTTACTTCATAGATAACTTGTAAACCTCTTAAGTTTTGTGAGGGAATCTGAGAAGGAGGTTCTACTAGCCTGCAAGAATATCAGTAACTAATGTTTTCAGGTGCGTACTGCCAGGACATCTCTGTTTAATCCATTTTAATTTTGAATTTAGATGTCTCTTGGGTGAAGGATGCAGCAAGCGAAGTGTAACCCTTGTATCTTGACAAGAGTGTAGGTTCAGTCTGTGTATTTATTTGTATCTAGAAGGTAACTGTCTTGTTAACTCGTGCTATAGAAAAATGAGCTCAAAGTGGGAGACGGGAGGTGAGCTGACAGCAGAATTGAGTGATCAGAAGACCTGGACATATATTGGCTAACTTAACAAATGCTGAGAAGGGCTAAAGGCTATGAAAGAGGAATGATGAAAATAAGATATTTTGCACTGAGGAGAAATGATTTGATTGTCCTGGTCAATAGACACTGCCGAGAGTCCTCCTGCATTGTTGTGACTCTCCTCTGATATCCAGAGCTTGTGACTGATCTCTGTAGTTAACCAGCATGGTTGTTACTATCAGATATGTGTCATAAGCTGCTATTTAAGGCATAAAAAAGAGAGGAGTAAGGAGAAAAAAAGTAGTCTATAAGTGATTTTTAAGTGTGTTGGACATAAGTACATAAGGAATTGATAGGTTCCTTAGATAAGCCAATTCCTTTTATATATATCCTTAAGTAAGGAATTGATAGCATTTGATAACATATATAATAAATTCTAATTTGGTTTCATGTATTGTCTTTAACACAACATTGTAGAATTGTGCAAGAAAAAGTTCTCTTTTGCTAGAACATTACCCAAGTACCAGTGTAACCAGCTGAATGATCCAGCTGTGCTAATTTTTCTACTTATTAACCTAATCTAATGTATTCATACCCATAGTGGATTTCATCTTAGCAGAACAGACTGCAAATCCTGCTTTAATTTGCTTGTATTTGATGAGTGAATGATAGTGTGTCGGGGGCTTCCTTCCCCCCCCCCCAAAAAAAAAAAAAAAAAAAAACAGAGAAAGGATCAGTTTACACTTGCTTTATTTCTTTTTGCACAGATATTAAAATACTCAGCCATGAGAATAAACCTCTTTATGGAGCCAATGCTCAGTTTGCATCAGCTGCTGAACTGCTCAAAGTTCCCTAGGATTTTCAGGCTGAATGTCCTGGGTTAATTTAAATAGTCTAAATACCAGGTCTTTGCATACCTGCCCTTTCAGTGAATCAGCCTAGGGAGTGTTTGTACCCATAGCTGGGACCTTGGGGAGGGCAGTAACTGCTGAGCATGGAGGAAGTGGCAGACTGCACAGCTGGAGCTGGAAAATGAAACGTATTCACAACCTGATGTGTTGCCTTTGTGGGATTTGGTGCATTTCTTTGTTTGCCAACAATATGTTTCCAATAAAGATGAGCAGAAAGGAGTTTTACTACTAACAGCTTGAGCCGTTTAACACACTAAACACTTAGCTGCAAAAAAATGAACAGCTGCTCAGCTCCAAGAGATAATAACGTGTTTTACAAAAGGGATGGTTCTTTCCTTGCTTTCTTTTTCCTTTCCTTCAAACTTTCTCTTTGTTCTTTTTTCAGCATTGTCTCTTCTGTCTTCTAAGGCTCTATCTTCCAGAGTCCAGGAGTGAAGGAAAGTAAATCTCTCTTGATGCAATTGTGTTGCCAGTTGCTGTTACCTTCACTGAAGCATTGTAATGTTTTCTCACGTGTCAGCATTCATGATCAAAACAAACTCGTGCTAAATTATGTAGAATTACATGTTTGTACTAGCTGCTATTTTCCTGAACCCATATGGCGTGATAAACTGCTATAGGCCTATATCTTTATGGAAGACAAGTTCTGTATGGGCCTTCTGTTGGGTCTCTGCATGGATGTGAGCTTCCCCTGTTGTGCTTGCATTCAAGTCTTATTTTGCCAAATTATTTTGGTTTGTGTATTTTTACATATGAATAGGTCAAATAACATGCAATAAGTAAGAGGAACGCAGATTTTAACCACTTGTATGTATGTAGATTAAATAACTTTTAATGTCTTACTTACCAGCTTGGGTTCAGCTTTTTCTCTGACAAATTCCCTTTTTCTGAAAAGAGGAATACCCCATTTCCATTTTCTCTCGGCTTATCTCTAGGACACAGAAGTTGCTGATGATACCTGGTTTTCCTAGTATAGTTTGAAGCCGCTACTGCCCAGCATGTAGAGATGTGTGTTAGTTCTTTGTCTCACTATCTCTTTTATTAAAATAACTCTTTTTCTTTAATTTACTGTGTCTGCCAGTTATTGCTGGCTTTATGAGCAGAGTTTAAGAGGATGAGAAGAAATATTTAGTTTTTATATGGACACTAGGGCTCCTGCTTCAGAACTTATGTATAAGCCTCCCAACATATTTATTTGTGTCTCCAGGGAAGTAAAAGACCATCTAAATTATGAACATAGAGTGTTTAACAGTGAAGAATTTCTGAAAACAAGGACAATGGGAGACCAGCCATTTTACAGAAAGGTAAATCATGTTCAAAATATTTTAATTCTCTATAACAAAACTGTATTTTAAGGATTAATGCTAAAATTAATAGAATGGCCATGAGATGGTCTGTCTCTTATTAGCAAACTGCCATCTTTCAGAGGATGCCTTACCAAATTAATTTTGGTTATTGTAAACAGAGAGAATATTAGTGTTTTGGAGAGCAAGATACTAAGTAATTTCAGAGCAAATGAGAGGTAATTCCTCTTGGGTGAACTCAGCCTACAGCAGATGGTCAGTTAAGCCTGAGCAGCAGGGGTTGATGCTGCCTGTTGGACTGCAGGCCAGGAGCTTGCAGCAAAATCGTGCTGCCCACCTGGAGCACGGGAGCTGGCCCCTGTTGGGTGGTAGAAGGTAGGTTGTCAGGCCATTTAGTTTTCTTAGCACTCCTATAGCACTTAGCTCTGCTTCTTAGGTGTTTATCTGAGCTTAGAAATCTCTAGGTGTGTAAAGTTCTGTACCAGTCTTGAGCTCCTCTTGCTCCTGCGAGATAAGCTTAATTCTTTTGTTTGCCTAAGCTTGATCTGGATCCTCTGTTGAAGTTCCTTGAGGACTCAGGTTTTTGTCCAATGCAGTTTTTAGAAAGATGTGTGCTTTTTTCTTTTCTTTTTTTTTTCCTCAAAAGATGGAGGTCTGATTTCCTTAGAAACACTGAAACTACCGGTATATGTATCCAATTTTATACGACAGCCTTGTTAAGGAAATGAGGAGGTGGATTTGATATCTTCATTAAAAGTGTGACCTGTCACCAGACTGTAGGTCTTGGAGTTTTTTTCCATTCTTTTAAGTGCTAAAGTGGTTTAAGGCTGTGTCATGGAGCATCAAAGATTGGAGATCCTGAGTGGGGGAAAGGAAAGGGAGGGAGAACAGAAGAAGGAAAGGGGCAGGAGAAGAAGAGGTAAAGGATGCTCAGAATCCTCTGCAAGCATCTTGTATTAGGGTATCTTGTCCATGAGTGTTGAAGTTACTCATAGTTGCTGTATTATTATTGCTGTGTATTTGGGAAACAAAATTCTAAGGCTTCACCAATGAATTACTATTATATATGAATTACAGTTATGTTTTAAAAATGCAAATGTTTATTAACACCAATAGGCTGTGGTCAATAGTGAACTTTCTATCTCCTACTTCAAAACCTTTCCTTATCACATGTGTGAACATCCATCCAAAGGAGGTTGCAAGACTGAAAGAAAAGATCAGAAAGGCATCTTTTCATTTTATTTAAGCAGGTGCTGAGGCAATTTGTGCTTTATTTAAGCAGGTGCTTAAATTTATTTAAGCAGGTGCTGAGCCTGTGGAACAGGCTGCCCAGGGAGGTTGTGGATTCTCTTACTCTGGAGGTCTTCAAAACCCGCCTGGATGCCACCCTGTGCCACATGCTCTAGGTGTGCCTGCTTGAGCAGGAAGGTTGGACTAGATGATCTGTAGAGGTCCCTTCCAACGTTAAATACTCTGTGAATTCTGTGAATTTGCAGAATTTGAAGCAATTCCAACATGAAAATATTACCAATCTCTTAATAAGAAATAGTGTTTATCAAGTAAGGATGGTAACACTTACTGAACTACTAAATAACCTAGTGGTAGGCTAGCTTTAAATGTAGTGAGATCTGGAGTAGTTATTAGCAGTGTCTAGGATTATATTAAAGGAACTGAAAAACCGTTAGAAAGCACTGTATTTCAGTTCCTCCAACTTGACCACCTCCCTTGCGTACAACTACCAGCAGAGGCTGCCATCTAGAGGGCAAATATTTAAAAGCAGGAATCTTGGTGCTTTCGTAGATGCCATTTTTATGGAATACATTGCAAGTGGGAAGATGCATCTTCAGTAAGACTGGCCTGTGTATTGGAAAAATATTTCTAATCACTTCAGAGTTTAAAAAAACAAAAACAAACAACAACAACAACAGAAAAACACCAAAAAACCTTATGAATCGTTCTCATTTTAAAAATACATTCCTGTATTTTTTAAAACATAATTTACTAATGCCTGGTCAATGTAAGGGAATATTTATTATTATTATTATTATTATTATTATTATTATTATTATTATTATTATTATTATTTTGGCCGATGATAAACTCCAAGACCAATAGGAATAATTTAGTCAAGCTTCTGGGATATAGCACTTTAAGGAGAGGAAAAAAAAAAGTCATTTTTATTAGTCCAATATATGACTTTTTGCTAATGTTAGTTTGTAAAGGCTGGGCATGGCATAAAATAAGTTGCCTGTCTTCATGTTTAACATTGTCTCCTAATGATTTTTTATTGCATTTTATTTTCTTAATAGAGGAATTTGAATTGTTTCATTATCAAACATTACAGAGAATTCTGTACTAAAAACATTTATAAAATATGCATGTTATGTTGCCCCAAACCCTTGTTTTCAACCTATTTTGGTTTGAAATGGAGGGAGAAGGTAGGTGGTGGATTTTGTTTTGTTTGGCATTTCTTGTGGTTCCATCAGTCCTAAAAGTAGCAATTTGACCTTTCAGAAGTTGTTTTTTGTGTCACACTGAGATAACTACTGCAGCAGTAGTTATTTTGGAGGTTATTGAGGGAGGAAAAAAAGGGTGATTTGCCTGTCTTTTCAGTTTTGTGGCATCATGTGTTAGTTTAAAAATACCACCAATACCTTATTCCAAACCATAAACAACATTGCTTAGTCATAGCCAGCAAATATAATATTTAAAAAACAAAACAAAAAACTGTTTTACTTAGAAGCTCTTTATTTTTGCTTTGTTTGGAAGGCGGTTGGAAATCACCGTTTGTCATTAAGCAAATATCATTAAATGAGAGTGGAAATGGTGGCTGAGTTAGTGTTTCTTGTGCTGGAGACCTCAAATATGTCAATTTTTGTGATTACTATATTTGATGTCCTCAGCTTTGCAGAGGTAAAGATAATAAAAATGAGGAAAACATGCTAAGAATAACAACACTTGTAAATGATCCACAATTAACTTGGGTTTATCCTGCAGGTTTTGGAGACCTACATGTTTCACTCTTTTCTTAAGGCCCGTCTGAACAGGAAGATGGATGCTTTTGCTCGACTTGAGCTAAGTACCCAGTCTGAAGAGGAGAGGTAAAGAGTTTTCAACTTCTTATTCTGATTTTGAATCGTCTTCCATTTAAAAATGTTAATAAAACTCCTTTTGATTCCAGTGTTATGCGATCAGGTCGCCAGTGAATAATGTTATGACTTACTAGTATGTTGCTAAGTTCTTGTAAAAGGATGATATCACCATGTCCAGCCATGACTATAGAATCATGTAAATTGATACGATAATAGCAATGTCGTAATGTAGTATGTGTATATACCAAATTATAGTATTTTCTAACTAGTTTCATTTTTTTATTATTATTATTCAGGTTAAACTTGATGTTTGACAGCCCCAGGAGACTGACTATGGAGAAAATGGCTTCAAAGCGGTTTAATCCCCAGTACCTGATCAGCAGGCGCATGGTAATCAGCATGCCTAATCTGCAAGATATCAAGCTGCCCCAAGGTCCTCCTAGAAATTCCTCCCTTCGACGACTAGAAACAAGCCCTGGTAAGGGAAGAACATGTTTAACAGACAGAGAGATTTTTCTGTTGATATTGTGGTTGACACCATTGATTGTTTCTGTGGAAATCAATATCAGATGCAAGGAAGAACCTGTGAGATGTAGTATTTTGAGTTAGTCCTGCATGTGCTTTTCCCTGCACATTTATTACATCTATTTGAAGTCTGCTGTTACATTTTGTGGTACGACACAAGCCTGAACGCTCCCCAGAGGCCTGGCACTCCTGAATTGCTTCCTGAGTCAATAATCATGTTCAGTCCTTTTCCCACTTCAAAGTCGGCACAGAACTGGACATAAAAATAAGCTATGATTAATCTCTGTTCCACAAAGCAAGTCCTGCAGAAGTCATGAGTGTGTGTAGTACTTCTGAGAATGTCAGAATAGGGAATATTTTGATAAGGACAATGGTCATAAATATGTATTTCTATCCCTAGCACAACTGTAATCTTGAATGTCATACACTGTAACTTCATATTACTGTCTTGAGGATTTTTTTTCTTGTTTATAATAGTGATGCTTGGTGAAGATGCTCGGTTTACACTAATCAACGTATTCTTTTTCCTTTCAGCCGTGAAACTGCCCTCCAAATCAGTTAGCACATTGAAAATCCCAGAAATTCACTTTCCTCTGATATGCCAGTGTGTCCAATCCTACTATGCAGACTTCTTCAACCATCTCAGCAAGGCTATAAATACTTTACCACCTGATAACTCAGCGTTGCTGGCAAGGTACTTCTACCTCCGGGGACTTATTAGCTTGATGCAAGGCAAGCTACTAAATGCACTTTCCGACTTTCAGAATCTGGATAAAACAGACTTAAGAATTTTCCCTACTGATCTCGTAAGAAAAATTGTGGAAACGATGCCTCCTTCTGAACGTTCCCAGGCAGAGCGCAAACCTGAGCTGAAGAAGCTGATAAGTCGCATGATGGAAAAACAGAGAGAAATTGTGAAAATAGATGATCATGTAAAAAACTTTGAATTGCCCAAAACACACATGCAACTGGATGATTTTGTGAAGCGAATTCAGGAATCTGGGATTGTCAAAGATATAGACACCATCCATAGGTTATTTGATGCCTTAACAGTAGGTAAGGAGAAAATACAAATTTTGAATGGGCATCTGTGCTGATACAAAGGCAATTTTGAACTTTTGCAGTGAAGAGATTTAATATACTCATGAATTACGAGATCTGTGTCCACAATAAGACAAGGAACCTGCTTCTACACAGAAATGCCAGTTCATTGGCTTAGGCTGTATGGGGGGGAGGGTTTTGCAAGCTGATAGTGTGACGGTCTGTTTTGGCTTGGATTATGATTAAAGAGAATATAGAGCAGTCCCAATTAGCAGTTGGGACCTAATGAAATAGGTGCCAGTAAAAAAAAAAACCACATTTGTGTTGTAAAATATAAGTAATATGCTGAGGTAGTATTTTTACAAGAATAAACTGGCACAACAGCAAAAAAAAGAGTAGCTAAGGTTTAAATTTCTCTTGAAGGGCCCTTGTAGCAAAAAGGGAGATTATGTTTGTATTTGGGAGAACTTTCTCCTTTCCTAAATGTGGTTTTGAGTCTGGTACAGTTTGAGTGCTTTTATAAAATTCTCTTTGCTTTTCCATCTCTAGCTTTTATCCCAGGTTGGTAGATGTGTGGTGTAGTAGCATTCAGTAGAATAAAGAACTGGAAAAGCATAATGAAAAGCATTCAGTTTAGTGGGGAAGTACAAATTCTTTCCTATCATCTGACTGGTTTTGCCACTGCCTTTGTACAGGAGAATGGAAGGGAGGATGTTGGATGAAAAGGAGTTTTTTGTCTCAAGGGTCTTTGGAGGGTGGAGGTCCCTTTGGTAGTTTGTGCACCCTGTTTACCCTCTAATTCCAAAATTTGGAACCTAATGTCTTTAAGCTTTCTATTTAAATCTGTATAATAGTTTCAGATAGTAAAGAAGTTTAATTCTTTTAGGACATCAGAAGCAAATTGATCCTGAAACCTTCAGAGATTTCTACAACTACTGGAAAGAAACTGAAGCAGAAGCTCAAGCAGTTAATCTGCCACCTGCAGTAATAGAGCACCTGGATAAAAATGAGTGTGTCTACAAGTTATCCTGCTCCGTAAAAACAAACTACGGGGTGGGGAAAATAGCTCTGACCCAAAAGCGCTTGTTCCTTTTGACTGAAGGAGGACGTCCGGGCTATGTCCACATTGCAGCTTTCAGGGATATAGAGGTAAGTGTAAAATTGGGTGATTTGGATGAGAGACCAAATCCCATTCTGCCTCTCGGATGTTATTTCAGCATAGATTATAGGAAACACTTGGAAAGTCAACAGCTTAAAAGTGGTTAAACTACTAAGTCTTTGGACCAAGAGTTTCAGGGTTGGCTTATCTGCTCGGTGCTAAAGTGACACAGAATCAAAACAAAACAAAATGTAGAGATTGTAACTTCTAGATTTACAGAAATGCAAAACATTGGAAATAGGATATAGGTTTGGAGACACTTGAGAACAAAAATGTTAAGGAAGCTTGTTTGGCTGTGGGGTCAGCTAACCAGGTTGTTTCTGTGCTCCTTAGCAAAGTCTGTGCTGTGTTTCCTAAATCCTGATGAGCAACCAGTTCTGTTTAATGGTGTGTAAGAATAGTTGAAATAATTAGAAACCGAAATTTTAGAAATGAAGTTGCCCTGTGGGATGAGTGTATGTGATTATATCTTACATGGTCCTTGCTGTGTTTTTTTATTTTTTTTCTGTCTGTGTTTCTAGGATGTTAAGAGCACAACTGTAGCTTTCCTTCTTTTGAGAATACCCACGCTGAGGATTAAAACAATCTCTAAAAAAGAAGTCTTTGAAGCTAATCTTAAAACTGAGTGTGATCTCTGGTACCTGATAGTGAAAGAAATGTGGGCTGGCAAGAAAATGGCAGATGATCACAAGGTATGAATATGGCTATTTATAACTTTATAAATTAATAATAATTTATACATTTATAACTGCAAAAAAAAAATGAAATGTGTCTGAATTCATATCATAGTCTTGGAAATTCTAAGTTTCAGCAAACAACATCTATTTTAAAAATACATATTTTTGCCATTGTTTTTGAGTATAAAACATCTGCACACAAGAAAGTGAAATTGCATTAAACATATAGCATGTCTTTTGTCATCTGCTAACCTTGATTTTGTTTAGGCACTAGTTTTGCAAAATATTTTCTTAGCTTTCACTTCCAATATGAGAATAGTGATCCTAAAAGCAAAGTTGGAAAGCTGAGCAAAATGAGCCACGTGCAACATTTTACAAGATTTTGCCACTCTGAAACCTTGGTGGCCATGGATCCTCTTAGTGAATAGGGCAAAATATGATCCCCTGCCCCAGAAACCTCAGGGAAAAGGAATTATGCAGAAGAGCAGGGTTTCCATCTGCAGCTAGTGTGGATTATGCTTCAGAATAAGTGAAGTACTCGTGCCAAGCATGATACACATCACGATTAAATGTATTAAAAGAGGGGGTGGAATAGATAAACTACAGTACGACTTTTGTCTTTAGGATCCTCAGTATATTCAGCAAGCCCTGACAAATGTTCTCTTGATGGATGCTGTGGTTGGTGCCCTGCAGTCTTCCAAAACCATCTATGCAGCCTCCAAACTGTCTTATTTTGACAGGATGAAAAATGAAGGTCAGTGACGTAGCGGTGCCACAGTGCCTGCTGTTGTTGCATCATCTGTCTCGGCTTCTTCCTGTTTCATATTCCTTTTTTCAAATGGATATCTGTAGAAATATAACAAGATGCCAGGCTGCTTGCACTTTCACAGATGTAATTTCTTAAATAGTAATAAAAGAAAGTATAGTTCTTGCTTCTGTGCAGTAGAAGCATAGGTGCTGTGTCTCATAGTCAGACAAGGCTAATGTCAAATGTAATGTCAAGGTTAATGTCTGTCTTTTATTGTGAATAAATGGTGGAGGTTTCTGTCTTTTGTAGAATTATATTTCAGACTTAGCTTGACAGTATCTTGGAATTTATGACTTTAAAAAAAATCTATTTTAGTGCCTATGATGGTCCCCAAAACAACTTCAGAAACATTAAAGCACAAGATCAACCCCTCAGCTGGTGAGATGTTTCCACAGGCAGTTGATGTCTTACTTTATACACCAGGTAAGGTGATTTCTTCTTTACATTAGCCCCGTTTTAATTAGCTGATAAAGCCTGTTAGCTCCTAACACCTGGCTCTGTGATTTTACCAATTTTGTTCGTTCTAGCATGTTGTGCATAGAACACCTAAACAAAATCATTTGGAAAGAACAGTAATAGCATAAATTTAGACACTCCACAGCTTAGCTTTCACTGTTTTGTCTTCCTGTGTGTATGTGCCTTATTATAGACTTCAATTAGGTGTTAATTAATGTACTGTCTTCCTATTAAGACTTCTGCCTTATAGAGCAGGATGGATGATGTTGTACTCTAGAGTATTTGTATTTAGGTTTTTTTTCTATATTCCTGTAGTTATTTGCGGGAGTTTGGTTCACCCACAGTGCAGGGAATAGAATGTACCACATTCTGAAATCCCAGAATCACTGGGGAAAAAGAAAAAAGGCCAAAAGGCTTCTTGTTTTTGGTTGCTTAATTTGGATCAGATATGTCAACTATAGCCATAACTGGCACTTCTCTGTTCAAGCTTTGCATCTCAGATCCCGCGTCTAGAAAATGAGGAGCATGCAGTTGGGACATCCATAAGAAATTTGGGATCAAATAGGAATTCTGCTTCAAATACACTAAGATCTCACTGGAATTCTTAATTTCTGCCTCACTTCCATGTATTTGGCTTAAAAGTGAAGCAGAAGCCCTAGCAATCCATTCCCCTTGGCTGCAAAATCCTGATTCATTAATTTCAAGGGCAAATCTACAAAACACTAAATCTAGTAGTGGGTCTGAGGGGACATAGTTTGTGATAATCCATTTAAATAAAAATCCCCATGTCCCTGAAGCTTTGTGCAATGCATCTGAATATAGGCAGTAAAGATAATATTAATTCTGAATATTCCTGAGTGGTTCCTCTTCATCTAAACCATAAACTAACATTTACTTCTGACTCATCTAAGCCCTGCTTTTTTCTTTGCCAACTTGCTTGGAATAAATGAATGCACTTTGGGTCATGCCCTTAGAAGTTCCCATTTTCAGGCAATTTGAGAGCAGAGGAGAAAGTAAATTCCAAAATGAAGAACTTGGGCAGGAGCAACTTGTGGAGTTTTGTTGGTTTTTTTTTTTTCCACTTTAAGTGAATCTTTTGAACAGATTTCTCATGATGAGCAATTAGAATGAATGGATTTATCAGCTGCATTTTGTAAGATCTGCAATCCCAGTTACCCAAGCACTTACAGCCCCCAATGAAAAAGATGCTCTGCTTACAGTGACCTCAGAGTATGAGATGAAGCCATCAGATGGGCTCAAGTAGATGAGAAGGGGCACAGGTTCATGGGGAGAACTATCTCCCATTAATATCTGGTGCTGTAAGTTCCAGGATGCAGACCCACTTCACCAGGAAGATGCTCAGTGTGATAATCATTTCTCCATGTGTTACCAAATGTACTGACAACACTGACTTGAGCGGGTTTTAGTTCTCTTTTCTCTCTCACCCTTCTCTGCTTCCTTTTCAGGGCAACTTGACCCTTCAGAAAGGCCTGTCAATGCTCATCCAAAACTGTGGTGTGCTTTAAATGAGGGGAAGGTGGTGGTCTTTGATGCATCTACCTGGTCTATTCAACAGCACTGTTTTAAAATAGGCAGCTCTAAACTGGTAAGACTGATACGTGTATTGTGACTGCTGCTTTAACATAATGTTTCTATTGCTATAGCTTACATGGCCCCAAATCATGGGCTTGACCATATTTTGAGCTTTATCCCATAAAATTTATGGAAAGACATTTGTTTTTTTCTGAGCTGCAGTTGATACAGAGAAATGAAGACCCTTGAGGAAAAAGTGGAAAGGGAAAAATGTGATTTTGTGGTGAAACAATTTATCCATTTCCAAGCCATGGAGCAAATGGTGGCGGGGTAGTGGCCTGAAGCTGTGAGTTCTTGAAGCTGGAAAGGTGGTTTTGAGACAGTGGAGAAGAAAAAAATAGTGCAGATAACGAGAGAGCATGAGAAATAGAGGAAAAGTCTCTTGAAGGCCTCAGAAACCTGGGGAAAGGTGAGTGGAGGCCAGTGGATGATATTGAAAGAGTGGTAGTAGTTTAAAAGGAGGAGATTCAACCAGTGGATTAGAGGGAGTTACTTGGGGAAGACTGTTTGAGGGGAATAACTCTTAAACTAGAGCTGCAGGTGCAGCAGAAACCGTTCAGGAGAGAGAACATGCAGCAAAGGAGTTGGATTAGGTTACTTCTGTGGGAACTGAGAAACATCACTGTGGTGGAAAAGAAGGTTGTTGTGAAGCCAGTGGAGGAGAAGACAGCATTTGCTTAAGCATTGCTTTGGATTGGAGGAAAAAATGTATATTTATATGAGATGGGTAGGACGGATCCAATCCATGAGAGATGCACAAATTCATGTGTTTTCTCCTGAACCCCATCATAACCTTTACTTTGTTTGAGCCAGGAAATAGAACTTAGTCAGTTACAAAGATATGCTGTTAATCCTGTTCTAATGAAGGATGAGCTGGGCAAGGAGATCCATCCTCTTCTTTGATTTATGGAGCAGAACAAAGTGCAGAGCAAAAAAAAATAGTGAGTCTTGATTTCTTAGTGTAATTGCCAAAAACTGCAGCATCTTAGTATACTTTTTTTCATATTATGCTACACTTTTTTTTTTTTTTTTTTTTGCTTGTAGGTTGAGTTTAATCCTTTTTTATTACTTACTATTTTTTTTTTCTCTGCAGACTTGCATGGTAATGATAGAACAAAGTCAAGTGTGGATCGGTTCTCAAGACTCCTTTATTTATATAATTAACACCCATAGTATGTCCTGTAATAAGCAACTAAATGATCATCGCTCTGATGTTACAGACATCATTGTAGAGAAGAAGAACGGAATACCCAGGTATATCAAAATGCAACATTTTCTTTGTAGAAATGCATATGCAGGCAAACATGTATGGCATCTGTTACACTAGAGAAAACATTAAGAAAATTCTTGTGTGGTTGAATAAAAACCACTTTGTGCAGCTAGAACAGTATTCCCAGCCTGGGAAATTTAGACTGCATTGATCAGAGAACCAGTTAAAGCTCACAGTGCCACAGTATGATGCTTCATTTGAAATGAAGGCAGAATGTTAATTTTTGTTCAAGGAAAAACTAACCCCTAAACGAAACCAGTGTCTGACTTTTCAAGATGTGTGAGCAATTTTAACAGGGGCGACACATCCTGCTAAATAAGTCTTCATTTTACCCATATATCTCATATATGGTAAGCTTAAAATAAAAATACAAAAAGGATTTTTTTCTAAAATGCATTATGTATTTTGGAGGAAAGAGGATTTTTTTTTGAACAAAGATGAGAGCAGCTGGGAAGTGGCAGCATGCAGCTGTGGATCAACACAGAGGCAGTTTAAAGCCCACTTCATTTTGAGCACAGTATTGACTAGATTTTTACAGCATATTCTTTCCTTAGGCTGCGTGTTTGTAACAGAAATCTTCTTATCTGAAGAAAACAAGTGCCAAGAGCACTTGGAGTGATGGGGTTTGTTTCCTCAGGTGCAGTAGCACTGAAGAACAAGGTTGAGATAAATTTGGTGCTAACCTGAAAGAGAGAATCCCCCAGGCACTAGCACTGAGGAGAACAGTTCTGATAAGCAAAGTACCTGCCTGAGACACAGCTGCCTAGAGGCAGCTATTTAGAAAATGTTGCAGGAATTTAAATTCCTGCACTAGTGTCATGGTGCTCCCAGGACATGTGAGCTTGTGTCTGTTGACTCTGGTCTCCTTTCGGAGGACTGACCCAGGCTAATAGTTTGCTATTGAAGTAGTGATGTTGTCAGGGCCTGCAGCCTTTGGGATTTCAATCCATTTTCTTTGGGAAATCATTGCTATACTTCAGTCTTGCAGCCTGAGAAGTGAAGGTTGCTGATTTGGCTGAGTGTAAAACTTGCTGTGCTGCAAGTGGCAGTTTCTACTATGTGCAGCTGCTGTTCTGAACACGAATGCACACTATACTACTGAATTTCTTCTTTCTGTCTGTGCCAACAGCGAGGCCTACTCGTGCAGCTTAGATGGGACAGTGATTGCCTGGAATATCAGCACTCTGAAGGTCAACCGTGCGTTTCAGCTGCCCTGCCAAAATCTTACATCTGTCCGACTTCATAATGATCAACTGTGGTGCTGTAAGTTCCTGAAACGATTAAAAAATGCATATTTACATATTATATTTTTGCTAGAAAAAGAGCAATATGTGAATCCCAAACTGACTGCTGTGCAAGTGACCAGTTTTTCTCCTATTTTCTACTCTTGCCATTCCCCATCTATCCAAAACACTCGCCTAGGTGCCTAGGTGCGATCTCCACTGAAGGTATGAGGTAGGCTTGCATGTGCTGCACTTGCTGCATGCTGTGACTTTGGCAGCACTATGTGGCAGCACTACTTTGCTGTGGCCTGCACTGGAGGGCTCTCTAAATTGGGGTGGAAAGTTTTGCAAAGCCCTTTGAAGCCCTTTGCAACATCTAAAGGGGTGATAACAGCTCAAAGCTGGGCTGGATGTTTCACTGGCACTGTATTGGTTTGACTTGATAATCGTCAAATCTGCATTTTATCTGCTTGTAGAAACCTGTTATCCCCTCCGTAGGGATTTAGTTGACTAAAATGAGCTTTTTGTCAGTATGTAGCTTTTTCTTGAAGCTGTTTCCTAAATCGTGACTGACAGAAGAAATTACTCTAATACTCGGTACTGCCACACACCAGACCCTCAAGTAACGTGTGATTTGTGTGTATCTGTGTGTATACATATATCAATATAAATATATATATACATATAAATTGTTATTTATATATCAATTCCTAGTCCTGCTGCAGTCAGTTGTGATGCTGCCATTCTTTCAATGGAATCAGGATTCAGCCCTGTAACTTTGTAGTACAGACCCTTGTCTCAGTTTTGGAGGCAAAAATAATTGTGAACTTGAGACCCAGAATATGAGATGTTACTTTAAAGTTGTCTCTTTTCTTGTTGTTACTAGACTCCACACTGGTGGGTAGGTGCTACAGAAAAGTAGCCAATATCTGGATGAAGACAGAGCAGATTTAAGGACTGAGTATTGAGGAAAGCAACATGAAGTACATTTAAGACATTTCTGCTCATTCGGAAATGAGATAATTGTTAGATACCCCCGTTTATGCTGTACTTTCCCCCAGGGTTTGTGTCAGTGATGGAAGCAGGCACTTCTGCTACTAATACTTTCTTTAATATTGAAGGTTCTGGAAGCTGCATATTTGTAGTGTCAACTCAAGAATTTCGACCGCACCTGAGAATTGAGCATAACCTGAAGGACATGTGTTCGTGTCTTCTCTGTTTCCAGCTGTTTCCTGAGGTATTAAATTGAAACTGTTGACTTGATTTAGAGGAAGTGTGACTGTGTGGCATTACTAACAGTGCTGTGTTTTGCTGTTACTGCGAGTACTTCTCGCAAGTACTTGATCTCAGCAGGGCTAAACCTGAAGGTATCTCAGCTCTGGTGAGGCTGCACCTGGAGTATTGGGGGCAGTTCTGGGCTCCCCAGTGCAAGAGGGATGTGGAGCTTCTAGAGAGGGTCCAGAGGAGAGTGACAAGGATGATGTAGGGACTGGAGCATCTATGATAAAAGGAAAGATTAAGTGAGCTGGGTCTGTTTAGCCTGGGGAAGAGTATATTGAGAGAAGATGTGATCAATATGTATAAATACCTGAGGGGAGAATGTAGGGAGGATGGGGCAAAGCTCAGTGACAGGACAAGGGGTAATGGGTACAAGTTGAAACGCAGGCAGTTCAATCTCCGTGTGAGGAGGAACTTCTTTATTGTGAGGGTGCCAGAGCCCTGGAACAGGCAGCCCAGGGAGGTTGTGGAGTCTCCTTCTCTGGAGGTCTCCAAACCCGCCTGGATGCCGCCCTGTGCTCTGGGTGTCCCTGCCGGAGCAGGAGAGTTGGCCTAGATGATCTCTAGAGGTCCCTTTCAACCTCAACTCTTCTGTGATTCTGTGATCTTTTCGTGCTTTAGAGAGATGAAGTGTGGGCCTCTTACTCGGGGAGCAGTGACTTATATATTTGGAACACCAGAGATCTTGCAAGTGCCCCTCAAAAGATTCCTCTTCAAGATTGTGCTGAGATTACTTGTATGATAAAAGTTAAAAACGAGGTGAGTGACACTCAGACTCTACTTGCTGTGGAATTCATTAAAAAAGTGCAGTGAACTGTTTGTTTGCAACTCTCTTGGGCCATCATTAGTCAGCTTCCTTACTGGGTGCCTCCATCTGGACTGATGTGAAGCATGAATTTCTCTCTGAAATCAGAGGATCAAATGACAGCCCAAAACAACTGACTGCTACCGGTACCTGACAAGCATGGAAAGCCAAAACCCTCACTAAGTAATTCAGTGATGACTGTCATTAGCCAGTGACATTTCCAAGTAACTGCATAAACCAAAAGTTTAGGTCCCTTGATATTTCATCTCAGGGGTCCCAAGACCAAGCTTTGCAAAGGTTAAAAGACAACCAGTAAATGCAGATTACACCATTAGCCCCCAAACTGGTCCATTTCTATAGGTGACCTTGTCCTTGTTCAGTCACCACGTGCTTAACTTGACAGAGTCCAAAGGAGCCAACGGCCTTGCTAGGAGTCTGGTGTCCCCCTCAAATTGGCCCCAGCCTGTGTAAAAGCAGCTGTGCTGCCATTTGGGGTAGGTTTAGGGAGAATTTACAAGTGAATAGCCAACATATAGTGAGAAAATAATTTCTTACCATGGACATGACACTTGATACCAAGCTCTAATGAGTAGATATTTGCCAGCTTGGACACTTCAGTATCTGTGCTGTTCTGCAGATCATTGGAGGCTTTGGAATAAAATCTGGCAGCTTATTTGGTTTGAGTCTTGGGCGAGGAACCAGAGGCAAGTCGAGGGCTTCTGGAAGACCCAAATCCAAGGGCTCCTGTCTGACCACATGGGTTTTGCTGCTTTGCAGCAACAGGAGGTCACAGAGGCAGGTTTTCCTTCTGCAGAAGCTGAGCTGCCTTTTCTCAAGAGACAGTGTTTGCCCATTATGATCTCAAATATCTTATTCCCCACTACAGCATGTGCTGTCTCCCCAGGGGTGGAAGACTCATTAATCTGCCTTTTTCCCCCTTAGGATCCCTTTCAGAACCTCTAACTCCAGTAAATACAAAATCTTCCATCCGTTTCATCCTAGAGAGAGAGCCCTGGCTACATCTGTGACCTGTAAAACTCCTGTTCAGGCTGTGCCCTAGACTGCAGTGTAAAGAATAATCAATTTTTCTTTCGTTATTTCCCCCCAAGTTGTGGATCGGCAGCAGGGGAAGGTCACAGGGCAAAATCAAAGGGAAGATCTACGTGGTCAGTGCGGAGAAGAAGAGCGTGGAGAAGGAGTTGGTCGGTCACGCCGACACTGTGAGGGCGCTTTGCTCCGCCGAGGACAGGTACGTCCTCAGCGGCTCCGGGAAGGAAGAAGGAAAAATTGCCATCTGGAAGGTGGAATAGTTAAGCTGGGAAAAATGTGGGCGCCTTTGCTGGCAAAAGTGAAGTCTTTGGGCTCCGCTTGGTCCAGCGTCCTGCCTATGTTTCAACCACCTGTCAGTGTTATTTGTATGTTATTTATTTATTTTTTTGTAACTACATTTCATATTTGCTGGATTTATGGAGTTTTTACTGTAAAAGCTAAGTATCCTGCGAAACTGGCAGCTGGGTTTCGTTCAGAAATCTGTCCATGACTGCTGTGTATATTTATGGTGCTGTATTATTTAAAGTGTAGAGACAGGCTCTCCCTAACGGCATGGAAAGCTCCCTGCTAGTGAAACTGGATATTTGGAGGTTCTCATTAATGGTTTTTTTTTACTTGTTTTTCCTTTAAAAACAAGGCACTGCACTTGGCATTTGTAACTTCTTTTTGTCGCCAGCCGAAGGACTTAATTTATTTAATTCCAGTGTATCTTATACCTGCTTTTGGGAGCAATCTCCTTGTCCCTGTGCAAACTCCTACCCCTCCACCTTAATTAAGTTCTCGGGACTGACTGTTCCTTAACTGCTGATGTGCCCAACTGGGGTCACGGGGTTTTATTTGATCAGTGTTTCCCAGTGGCTTTTTTGAAGGTTGATAAATTCTGAAATCACGGCAAACCTCTCAAAGCTACTGCTCTATTTCCACATCAGTGACAGAATTGCCTGTACGGAAGGCAGCAGACCAGTCTGGGCTGTATCGGCACTTAGTAAAGCAGAATCAAATATTTAAAACATTGTAAATAGAGGGGAGAAAAGGGCTGCTATTCTTGTTAACAAATACAAACTAAAACAGTAACTGCCTACTCAAAGGGTAAAATACTGGTAATGGTTCTGACTCTTAATCTGCTGATGAAAGATGTTTATCACATGATAGTAACTGTAATTTTGCCTTTTTTTCAATTCAAGAATATTAAACACTATATTGGTATTTTGGCCTCTATGTGTCATTCTTTTGGTATAATCCAACCCGAGTGAAGATTCGTACTCTTGACTCACGTCCTTTGTGCACAGGGCAGAGATGGGCCTTGATTTTTTCTATCTCCAAGTTGTTCTTCCTAAACCAGCAGCTGCTGCTGCTCCTGTGGGCCACTCAGCTGCAACTTTCAGCTTCCTCCTTCCCAAGCACCAAGCAGCGAGTGCCACAGACAGGGGAAAAACAGCTGTAAGGGTTGGTGGCAGTCAGTGGGGCTCAGAAGGCTGCCGCTTTCTGAAAAATGTGTGACCAGATGTTTGAAGTCCAAGGTGAATTTTGGCCAGCTCGTTTTTGCTGCTCTGCGCGTGGCTGCATCGGCCTCCGCAGCTCCCCGGGAGCCCTTTGGGGCTGAGGAGCCTGAGGGTGCGGTGGAAAGCAGGGGCTGCGTCGCCACTGGCTTCTCGCAGTCCCAGGGCACCGTCCCACTGGGCTCCCTGTGGGATGAGTCACTTTTCCCCCTGTGCCCCAACGACCTTTTCCTGGCTCATCCCACATGTCTGGCAGAGGACGTGGGCTGAGGGGGGCCCCGACCTCGCTCTCTGTCGGCTTTTTCCCCTACCAGCGAGGGAGCTCCAACTTCTGCCAAGGAGAAGATGGAGCCAAGTGGAGCACACAGAGGGGTCACCCCCACCCTCATCCCACATCATTCATTCACACCTGCAGACAGAGTGAGGACCCAGCGGCCTCTTACAGCCCCAGGCCCCTCAAAACCCCCCGTTTCCCCCCCCAAACCCTCACGTGGCGCCTGTGTCCCCCATGGGCCAAATTGCACAGATCAACACAGCGACACCAGCCGCAAACTCGGACCCAAATGTTTATTTAGCGCGAACGGGAGAACAGCGGATCGGAACAACGCAACGTGGAGCAGGGCCTTTCTGAACCCTTCTTTATCTATGCATAAAAGAACCAAAAATAAAATCAAGCTTATACAAAAAGAACAGAAAGTGCAGAACACAATGAAACAGTTCTCATGCAACAAATCTCTCGGTTTTCTTCTTTAAAACAGAAAATAAGCTCAACAGTGTAGAAATTAAAAAAAACATACATACATTTTGCCGTCTACTCACTCAAACATTCATCTGTGACATGACTTCTCTTTATCCCTTTTTCCTCATAAAACTTAACAGTATGTGTTTAACACATGCTTATAAACATTGCTAAACTCAGCAAGAGCTATTATAGTGCCCCAACTTAATAAGTTGATAAAAAAGTAGTTGTCGTATGGCCAGTTCACAAAGGAACCAAATATTCTCTCTTTTTTTTCTATTTTTTTCCTTTTTTCCACTATGAGATGCCTATATGCAGCTTTCTATTAATACGAGGCATTTAAAACGAGCTGGTCATTTGGCTACCGAAAGGGCTTTAGTGTTTTGTGTTACATCAGAAAAGAATAACAATAAAAACCAACGTGGGAACTGCCCATTTGCCAAGCAGGGAGGGCTCTGGCTTTGGGAATTTAGCTGCGATTTGGCTATTGCTGAGTATGGACTAGGTGCACTGAGCTAAGGCTAAGGACTGGGTAAAGGAGGCTAGAGGTGCATCCGGAGCCTCCGCATTTCGGAAGAAAACGCACATCCAACTGAACTGACTCACCGGGTTTGCCCCCAAACTTTGCACGTTCAGAAATGCCTTGGAAACATCCTGGTTTTACTTGGCGGCAGCCCCGGAGGGGGCCCCGTTTTGGATGGCCCCGTGCGGGTGAACAGTGGCCAAAAACCTTGCGTAGCCTTGAGCTTTGGCAGCCCAATGGGTGCCGCTTCTGGATGCAGCAGGAGAGACTTCAGGCTACTCCACTTCTATTCAAAAGAATGACCATTTTTTCACTCCTATTTTTTATTTTTGCAAACTTTCAGCTTTGTGGTTTAAGGAAGAACCAACAGACAGCTAGAGGACTATCCATAACCATAAAGTTTCGGCAAAGCAAAACTATTAAGATTTGGTGTTTCTTGCACACAGTCATGAATCCCACACCTGTGCAGCATTTGGTGTTGCCGTTTTACCCAGCAAAAGGTGACGAGGATGAAAGAAAGAGCCGTGAACAGCAGAGGCTGCAGAGGCTGGAGCTGCTCAGCACCGTGCGGGAGGGCCCCGCGTCGCTGCAGTCAGACACGTTATTTAGCGCCTCGGATGATGGGAAAAACTGGAAGAACTTGATTGAAAACCATGTGCAGTGACAAAGAGCATGAAGCCAGCAAGGTATCTTGGCCCAGACATGTGTGTGTATATATATATATATATATATATGCATAAATATATGTATTAATATCCTTATATATGTACATACACATAGGCAGATGCACACGTGCCTCTCAGCGATGGACCTACAAGCCGGTGTAGATGCAGAACTGATGACTTTGCTGACATAGAAACGACTGAAAACTTGAAGGACCAACCGAGCCACCAAGTTGGAAGCCCCCGCGGTGCTCGGCCCTTCTCCTGCTCTCCCTCCTGGTCACTGTTCCTGAAATTTCTGCTCCTGAAATTCAACTTTCTCTGCCTGCTGCAGAGCCACGATCAGACGCAACGAAGGCCATGAGGTTCCTCCCAAGGAACCTCCGCCGTGCAGCGGTGCTGGATCTCTAGGAAGGTCATCTCGCCAGCAGGAAGGAAAGAAGCAGGAATTTTCCCTATGGAATTATTGCTTCCAGACTCCGAAAGCACCGTGCGCGCAAAGTCAGCGACAACCCGATGGTGCCAAAATCCAGCTCCAACATGAGCAGCCTTGAGCTTCTCTGCTGCAACGCAAGATGCAGCTGCCAAGTTTTCATCAAACACTCACAAATCCGAGCTCCGAAGATGCAGCGTGTGGCCTGAAAGCAGCAAACCTGGGGAGATACCTGCTGTGCCCAGGAGCAAATTCCTCAGCTCTCCCTTTCCTCCGCTCCTGCAAGAAGACATAAAAATCTCACGCTTTACTTCTTGGGTGTGATGGAAACCAAAGGAAATCTTTCTTTTCGCATCAAAAGGTAAGGTGGGGGATGCTACCCTGAGAAGTGACGGGGCCAAAAGGAAAAATCCTCTCAAATCCAAGGGAAAAGCAGCTTTCGCAGGACAAATCTCCGAAGCTGGCCGAGGCGCAAGTGTCAGAGCGGCAAAAAGCCTTCAAAAATAAAATATTAAAGCCACTTTTAAAATGTCTAACTCACTTTATATTTTACAAGAATGCCAGTTATCAGGGTGAAATACAACACTCACTCCTGTCATCGGAATATATTAAATGTAACTGAGATGATAAAATTCACTGCAGAAGTTCAGTTAAAGTATTTCTCAGAACTGATTTCTTCAATAAGGTCTTAACTCCTCAGTAGTATGATTCCCCTGTGTGAACACAATTCACAGTATGTGTTCTACATGAAAAAATAAATTCAATGTAAAGAAAAACGACCTTCTTGGGAAAAACTAAGAAAGTCCCGTGCGATTACGGTTGCTTTAGTGCTCTGAATCTCACCAGCCTGAAAACAACATCGCCACCCTGGACAGCTCAGGAATCAGATCCCTACGGAAAACCTTCAGCGTGGAGACCGGGAATTCATCAGTGACGTTGGCCAAGACTGCGCGTTGACTTCAAACATACCAAAAACATACATATTTCCTTAAATACATTGACAATTCAAGTAATTTATTAAAAACGGCTTTTCATTTTGAAATATATATATATTTTTCTTCTGAATGACTATATTGCAGCATGATTTACACATGCATCTGAAAGTACTGCAAGTACGAGGAGGTTGAGGCAGCAGAAGCCTTGCAAGGAGCTGGGATCAGTCGGGTTAACGCCAGGGTTGGCTGTGGCTCGTAGGTCCATGTGCAGCGGGCAGCACCACGGATCGTTTCTCAGACAAGAGCTGGGAGCTGCTGGGGTTTGACAGGTGCCTTAACTGGCCGCTGGATCTCTGAGCTTTGCCCACCTGAGCTTTGCTGCTGGCGCCCCCAGGAATGTTTTTCATTGGAGCAACGTCACTCATTAGGCTCTTCATGGAAAAGGGGCCTGGAAAAAGGGAGCTGTATCCTGAACGGAGGCATTTGGAGGCGGTGCTGGTGGGATGGGGAGAGCAGCTCCGCAGAGCTCCAGCCTCCGACGGGGGGCTGGAAAGGTGACGTGGATCTGACTGCGAGGCCTAAAACCAGTTCCCCACACAGCTTTTGATGTGACCGGACCCTGCCGTTCCCATAGCAAAAAGATGGTAAAAAGGGCAATTAAGCATCGCCTTCCTTTCCCCACCGCAGACTCCTCACACTCCACCCCGAAACCAGCCCCAGAGACGCCCCTCTCCGCCACAGCTTCATCCAGACTCCATGGGCTTTGAATGCTGGAAAAACCCCCCAAAGTTCATCAAAACTCCCAGCTGAGAAGTGTCACAGCGTGTTCCAATGACATCCACGAAATTCAGCCACATCCAGTTGTTGGAAAGATCCGCGGGTGCCGACGGCCTCTGCAGTGGCTGCTGCTTCCACCTACGGGTCACCCCGGTGCGCGTCACCCCAGTGCACCCCGCTCCCAACGCGCAGCAGACTTGGGTGCTGCTGCTGAACAGCACGCGTGAAAATTCACAGCAGTTTCTCAGAAACTGCATGAATTGCCTTTTTTTGCCTTGGAAAAAGAACGATTGCAAATGAAACTTTACTGTAGCAATTGCACCAACAAAAGAAAAACCCACAAAGTCTAAACTCAACGTTAAAGAATTGCAGCCGTCAGACCAATACCATCGTGCTCAGGAAAGAAGACTGATTGAGATGTCTAAGCATTTGATTCAGGTGCCATGCTAGTGAAATCTGAAATGGTCAGTCAAAAATAGCAAGAGACTATAGGTCGAGATAGCTTTCCATTTTCAGTTAGTTTAAAAACAGCCGAAAACTTAATTTTTCTAACTGCTAATTGTATACATTGTGAGTCTCATGCAGATTAATAAAACTTATTTGAACTCTAAATGTATTCTTAATAAAAAAAGTGTTCAGAAATGGCATTTCTAAGTTGTAGAGAAAGCAATTAGCATCATAGCTACCTGTTCAAACCTATATTAGGGAACTACAGAATTCCATTTACATTTTTGCATGAAACTGCCTGCAATTTTCCGCAATTTTAGCTATGAGGACTGACGATCCGAATTTATTCTCTTGGAAAGAAAAGGGTTCCTGATCCTGCACCTGTGCTCCCTGGAATGTGTGTGAACGGCGGCCTCACACGGCGGATTCGCTCTCCGGCGCCGGCGCCGCGGCCCCTTTGCGTGACAGCTTCAGAACCGTCGGCTTCTCGGCGTCGGTGCCGTTGCTCCCGGCGCTCTCCGGAGGGCCCAGTCCCTTCTGCTCTTCCTTGGGCTCTTCATTGACTTCGGGATAGATCACCAGGAAGGCGGCTGTCAAGAACCCCAGGAAGGAGCCCACGGACGCCACCATGGGAATGACCCTGACGGTGCCCACGGCGTCCACGACGCCGCCCAGCGCCGAGGCCACGAGGATCTGCGAGATGTAAACCTGGCACGACAGGATGGCGCAGTCTATGCCGAACCCTCGCTTGGAGTTCCCGGGGCTGTGGTGAATATACTGGAAAAGACAAGAAATGTGTATTAGAAGACAAAACGAAGAAATAGAAGCATATATAGAATCATTTACAAACTGAAGTATTGGAAGTTCTAAAAGAACTTAAGAAAACATTTCTTAACAGAGGGTGCCAGAGCCCTGGAACAGGCTGCCCAGGGAGGTTGTGGAGTCTCCTTTGGAGATCTTTAAAATCCGCTTGGATACAGCCATGTGCCACGTACTCTAGGCGACCCTCCGTGTGCAGACTAGATGACCTCTGAGGTCCCTTCCAATATGATGCATTCTATGATTCTATGATATATCATCAGCAGGCTTTTGACACCAGCCCCCACAGCATCCTCCTGGGCAAGCTCTGGAGGTGTGGGATAGATGAGTGGAGGGAAGGTGGATTAGGAACTGGCTCGATGGCAGGGTGCAGAGAGTGGTTGTCAATGGTGCGGAGTCCAGCTGGAGGCCTGTACTTAGTGGTGTCCCCCAGGGATCAGTTCTCGGTCCGGTCCTGTTCAACTTATTCATTAACGACCTGGATGAAGGGCTGGAGTGCTCCCTCAGCAAGTTTGCCGATGATACCAAACTGGGTGGAGTAGCTGATAGCCCTGAGGGCTGTGCTGCCATCCAGAGGGACCTGGACAGACTGGAGGACTGGGCGGTGAGAAACCTCATGAGGTTCAACAGGGGCAAGTGTAAGGTCCTGCACTTCGGGAGAAATAATCCCAGACACCAGTACAGATCAGGGGTGGACCTGCTGGAGAGCAGCCCCGCAGAGAGGGACCTGGGTGTCATGGTGGATGACAAGTTGACCATGAGGCAGCAGTGTGCCCTGGTGGCCAAGAAGGCCAACAGGATCCTGGGGTGCATTAAGGAGAGCGTCTCCAGCAGGTTGAGGGAGGTGATCATCCCCCTCTACTCAGCCCTGGTGAGGCCACATCTGGAGTACTGTGTCCAGTTCTGGGCTCCCCAGTACAAGAGGGATGTGGAGCTGCTGGAGAGAGTCCAGCGCAGGGCTACGAGGATGATGAGGGGCCTGGAACATCTGCCCTATGAGCAAAGGCTGGAAGAGCTGGACCTGTTCAGCCTGGAGAAGAGGAGGCTGAGGGGGGACCTGATCAGTGTCTGTAAATACCTCAAGGGAGGCAGTGAGGAGGAGGGGGACAGCCTCTTTGCAGTGGTGGACGGTGATAGGACTAGAGGAAAAGGCCACAAGAAGCACTTGGAAGCACCAGAAGTTCCAGAGGAACTTAAGGAAAAAACTCTTGACAGTGAGGGTGACAGAGCCCTGCAACAGGCTGCCCAGAGAGAGGTTGTGGAGTCTCCTTCTCTGGAGATCTTTAAAACTCACCTGGATGCAGGCCTGTGCCACGTGCTCTACGTGACCCTGTGTGTGCAGGGGGATTGGACTGGATGATCTCTAAAGGTCCCTTCCAACCTTAAGGATTCCATGATTCTATGACTCTTATGATTTGAACATTAGTATCTTTCCAAAATTCCTCAGCCGTGTACTTGCCTTTCTGCCTTCCTTGTGCATGTCTACAGCAACAGCCTCCTTGTCAACAACCTGATTTACACCTAAAGAGAAGTTTTCACTCCCAGCTTGAACTTGGCCCCAGAATCAGGTCGTGCAAAAAACATTCAGTGAAATCACTGGTGGAGATTGTTCCTGAGATCCTGACAGGGTATCATCTCCCTTCCAATGCCTACGCAGAATCGTTAAAATTAGCGTTCCTTGATGGATTTGGAATGGAAATATAAGAGTGCTAAAACCTGAAAAGTAAAACTGTCCTTGTTTCCAGGAGAACCCATTTGCCTTATAACTTGCCAAATCCACAGGTGTATTTCTAGACTCACTGGTGTATCTAAAAAAACTAAGAACCCCATGTCGCACAAAACAGCAGCAACAACTGTGCATACAGTAAATATCTCAGTAATTATTTCACATGCATTCAAATCCTTTTACACCATAGCACAGGGTAAAGCAACGACAAGTCCATGAGCCAACTTCATGCCAGTTCTGTCTGATAAAGTAGCTTCTCTTTCTGTTTACTATGAAGCACTCATCTGTTCTTGGCATGTGTCCCACCAAAGCGGATATCTCAAATAACTGGATGTGCTAAATCCATTCTGTCCCTTTGCTCTTTGGAGAAATGTGGGTGCTCTGCCTCAAAATACTTCACGTACCTGCTTTATATCGTGGTATTGTCCCAAAAGCGCGTAGGGGCAGTAGGAGATACTCATGGAGACGATCCCCATGGTGCTGATCATTATCATGGTGACGTACACGTTGGGGAACATGGCCATCACTGCAGTGCCGAGAGAAAAACCCAGCGTGCCCAGGATGTAGATGACTTTTATACTAAGGTCGTAGTTGTCCAAGTACTTCTGCAACAGTGCTGAAAAGAGCCAGAAGAGCATGTTAAGTATTGGTTTGCAGGGTGAAGTTTTAGGGTATGACGTGACAGTGACCGCTCCGTGTGCTGGCTAGGACTTGGATCTGCTCTGAGGCAAAGCTCACATTGCACAAGGAAATGATGTATCTCCGGGGACAGGGACCTGCCAGGATCAGGAGATCTGATCCGTAAGTACCTGAAAGGAGAATGTAGGGAGGAGGGGGCCAAACTCTTCTCAGTGGTGACCAGTGATAGGACAAGGGGTAATGGGTGTAAGTTGAAACACAGGCAGTTCCATCTCCATATGAGGAGGAACTTCTTCACTGCGAGGGTGCCAGAGCCCTGGAACAGGCTGCCCAGGGAGGGTGTGGAGTCTCCTTCTCTGGACGTCTTCAAAAACTGCCTGGACACCACCCTGTGCCCCGTGCTCTGTCTCTGCTGGAGCAGGGGGTTGGACTAGATGATCTCTAGAGGTCCCTTCCAACCTCAATCATTCTGTCATTGCCCAAGGCCACATCACAGAATCACATCAGAAGGATGTGGCAGAATTTGGAGCAGAACTGAGTGTTTCATGGCTTAGCTTTAACCCAGTCCATTCAGAGTGCACTAATTAATACCATCTATTTATCTATTTAACCATGCACATACACTCTAAACTCTGCCCACAGAGTGGATTCTGTTTCTAATGCACATGCAACAGTCAAGAGAAATGACTAGGTAATTCAATTTTATAGCCACGTTTTGGTCTGTGCTCAGAAACAAGCTGTAAGTCTGGACTTCAACTTGAAGTGATTCATTAAAGAGGCAGTGCCTATGGTGCTGATCTGCTAAAACCCACTTGCACGTGTGCTGCAAAGGGCAGGATTCAAGTGTGCCAAAAGCTCTGTAATTTAAGAGTCTATATAACAAGCCTAAAGGTTACCACTCAGGTCTGTGGTTGGTTTAGCTGTTACCAGAAAGCAAGACATAGACTTCAAGCTTCTTGTCTCAGGAATACATAATTTTAGTTTTTAAAATTCTCTTACATGAGCTTGATTTTTTTCACAGATTCACAGAATATTTAAGGTTGGAAGGGACCTCTACAGGTCATCTAGTCCAACCTTCCTGCTCAAGCAGGCACACCTACAGCATGTGGCACAGGATGGCATCCAGGCGGGTTTTGAAGACCTCCAGAGTAGGAGACTCCACAACCTCCCTGGGCAGCCTGTTCCACTGCTCTGTCACCCTAACAGTAAAGAAGTTCCTCCTCACCTGGAGACGGAACTTCTTATGCTTCAGCTTGTGGCCATTACCCCTCGTCCTATCGCTGGCCACCAGTGAAAACAGCTTGTCCCCTTCCTCCCTGCATTCTCCCTTCCTGAACTTATACATATTAATCATATCCCCTCTGAGCCGTCTCTTCTCCAGAGAAAACAGGCCCAGCTCACTCAGCCTCTCTTCATACGAGAGATGTTCCATTCCCTTAATCATCCTGGTTGCCCTTCTCTGGACCCTCTCCAGAAGCTCCACGTCCCTCCTATACTGGGGTGCCCAGAACTGCACAAAGTACTCCAGGTGCGGCCTCACCAGAGCTGAGGAGAGGGGCAGAATCACCTCCCTTGACCTGCTGGCAACACTCCTCCTGATGCAGGCCAGGATCCCATTGGCCTTCTTGGCCACGAGGGCACACTGCTCACTCATGGTTAACTTGGTGTCAACCAGGACTCCCAGGTCCCTCTCCGTGGAGCTGCTTTCCAGCAGGTCGAGCCCTAATCTGTAYTGRTGCCTGGGGTTATTCCTCCCTAGGTGCAGGACCCTGCACTTGTCCTTGTTGAACCTCATGAGGTTCCTCTCTGCCCAACTCTCCAGCCTGTCCAGGTCCCTCTGGATTTTTTTCGTTGGGATCAAGCATAATTCTATACTGAATGGCTAGCTAAATACCACTCAAATTCGTAAGGAATGATTTTATGCTCTATGCCACTCAGCAGTCCTTTTCATACGTCCACCTCTGTATCTGATGGCATCATTTTATAATTATTCTTAAGGAGCATTTTATGACAACATAAAACGACACATTTGCAAAGTCTCCATTGCTCCAAACATGCAGGTAGCTGCTAACAAAAGTAAATCAATGCATCTAATGTAATTTATTTTGCAAGATGTTTACGAGGCTCATTCCACCGTCCAGTTGTGCGGATTCTCCTACCTGAACAAACAGCAGCAGTAGCAGCGTAGATTACCAGTCCCCAGCATCCCATCTGAACTCCAGCATTATAGGCGTGTAACTCAGTCGAATTAGAAGGGGCCTGCAAAACAAACCCCAAACCAAGAGCAAAGTCAACGGCTTTTGATCACCACCTCTCTGAGATGAAGAGCTGTAACACAATCCTGACAGAGGTAACACAACTCTCTTCTCTTACCTTTGGATCACCTTTAAAGATGACCTGCCCCATGAAATCTGTATAGAACACGGCTTCAGCGATGATTGAAAACCAAGTTAAGAGGTGACAGACGCAGAGTCTCAGCAGCTCCTTTGGCATCTTGAGCATTGAGAGCCACAGGAGCCGCACGGTGGTTTCCGTTTCGCCCTCCTCGCTCTCCGTGTCTCCGCTCGAGTTGGTCGTGCCGCTCTGATTCCTGTGCCGGCACTTCTGGCGCTGCCGCTTCTGCATGTCGTAGATGTCGTTCATGCTGCGCGAGGACTTGATCAGGACGATGGCGTTGGCGCGACGGAATCGATAACGGTGAGAGCCTATTTTGCCGTAGTAGGAGAAGGTGTAGGATGGCTGCCGGTAGAACATGTGCCTTCGCCTCCGCATGGAGTTTGAGGTGCTCGATTGCTTCATGCCGATTCTCGCGTGTCCGTTGAGGAACTCTTTTGGTAGGGAGCCGTTTGCGTTTGGGCCTTTATCTTCATTCAAGTGATTATCAAGCAACATCTCCTCCTCTTTCTCGTTGTCCCTGAGGAAAGCAGACAGGCGGTTGAGTTTGGATTTCATGATCTCTTGGCTGGTGTTGTGGGGAGTGTTGGGATAGGAAGCATCCTGAAAAATTGAGGGTTCGATGTCGTGCAGAAAAAGCAGCTCTGATTCAATTTCCAACGTAGCATCGGGCATGTGCAGGACAGAGTCGCTCTTACTCCTAACAATGTTCACCTCGAGGAACTCCATGCTGAGATCGTGCTCTGACTGAACCTCGTCATGGAACATAGAGGCTCCATATGGATCTTCCTCACTAATGACATTGAGTCGATTCAGAGGGGGGAGACTCCCGCTGAATTTCACGCTAGAAAGTGTGTCTCCTTCATCATCTATCCTGTCCTGCTGAGGGTTGTATTGCTCTTCTTCAATGCTAAAAAGGTGGAGGGCAACAGAGACAGAGAAAATGATGGCTGCGAAGAAGAATAGGACTTGCTCTTGAGATTTAAAAATACTACCCAAGAAGGTCTGTGTCCAGTCCAGCCCTCCTAGCATGTAACCAATTGCTCCCCCAAGACCTGCGGAGAGAAAAAGGAGTTTCGTCAAATCACAGACAGCAGCCCCAAAATACCAAAAAAAACATATTCAACCTGACAGACAAGTCTCCTTTTCACCATCACTTAACTCAGGTGATTCAAAAATATAGACTTTCAGAAAGCTGAATATCTCCTCTTTCACCATTAAAGAAATCTCTCTTTTCATATCAAGTACTATCCTCTAACTGTGACTCTAGATTGTGATATTCATGGGACTCCTGGATTAAATCAGGTTCTTAAATCACATAACCTCTATCAAATTTAAATGAAAGGTTCTCTCGGGGCTTTCAGGTTAAGATAAACTCCATGACAACACACGAAGGTGTCCAAAATATCCACTGATATCTAGAAATCAAGCTTAACAGAGAGAGCAAGACTTTTCCACGCTTTGCTATTGCTCGCATGTTAATCTGCACAATGTTAATCTGTTCTCTCAGCCTAAACTTCATGGTAGGGACTATCCTGCCCTGACTACAGAGCATCAAGTGCTGAAAAGCACTAATTTCAACCAAGTGTTTTTAAAAGTTTATAATGCTAACCATCATCTTGTGTTATTTTTATTCCCAAGGTACTTGATTTTGTACTTTTTATTAGGTTTATATTTTTCAAATATTTGTTATTATATAGTCAATAGCTCATACAGATACTCTTGGCTAGAGAATGTCATGAGCTTCAGGATTTGTAAGACAGCAGCAGTGACAAAAGATGGGAAGAGAAGAGAGGAGAGAAGAGAAGTGAGTTCAGGGAAAATCAATTGGTCATTGGGAGGATGTGACAGCTGCAGAAGACATGTTGATTAGCTACCTACCAGCCGAAAAGGCATGGATGTTAAGGGCCATATCTTGCTCTTCACTGTCCACCACATCCAACAGGTAGGCCCGAATCGGCCCCTCGGTTGCATCAGCACAAAAATCCAACACCACGACACCAAGCACCGTGAGCACGATGCCAATGGGCTGCTTGTCTGGGACATCGCCGATAGCCAGACCTGAGGGGAAACAGAAGAGGAGTCTGAGCGTTTTCAGGAAAAAAGCAAAAACTACTCAAGGCAAGGATAGCCTCCAAGAGAAAGGTGGCCAACACACTTACTGGAAGGATTGCTTTACGGAATAAAATGGCAATTTCAATTCTTTGGCAGAGCTTCATGGAGGATCTGGGATAGAAGATACGTTGTGGCTCTTGGAAAACTGAGGTTTATTTTTCAAAATGTCCCTTTAAAGCACCTCCTAACCCTCTGAAAGCTTTGGTTTTTATTTTAATTTCCTTGTACGTACTCCTCTTCAGGTGGCGAAGGCTGTTTTTATAGAAGACAGCCATGGTGAAGGAGGAGAAGCAAAATTATGTTCCACATCTAGGAGTCAGAAACTCTGCTGGCAGCATCTTGATGTTTCACATGATGCCTGATGTGAAATGGTACAACGGGATAAAGTAGGATTGACTCTCCCTAAACTCACAATACCATTAAAACATAAATATAGCAGATGAAAATGATTATGGAAAGAGATGACCTAGGTAAGCCACTAAAAATCATCTAAACCTCGAGTGCTATATGATTCCTGTACATTCAGCACTTCTTTTAACCAAGTTTTCTGAATAGTGAAGAAATTTATTAATGTTCCACACTAGGCTGAAATTTACTGCTGAAAACATCAGCACATTAGATCTGTAGGGCACTTGAACAGTGCATCTGGTGGTGGAGAGAACATGTGAGACAAGATCCACACATAACTGGTCTCCTCAGACATGCTGGTGTTAGTCCTGGGGCTGGAAGGCCTTTCAATAGCAGCCTTGGAGCCCAGCCTTGTGCTCCTTGTTCCAGTCCCCAGGACTCCTATCGCCAGAGAGCAGGCTGTGAAAAAGGGCATTGTAAAAGGGTATCACACAACCATCACCTCAGGCTGGCTCTATCTCCTGAAGTCCCAAGCTGAAATTAGGAGTGCAAGAGACTACGGACAGGAAAGGGTGAACGTACAGTGGGAAGATGACATATAATGGAAAAAAAGGGTCCATCTAGAAGGAAACCTGGTTACAAATGAGGCCTTCTTGTGGAAACAGGTGTGCAGAAGATCAGGAGCTCTCACCTGAGTTCACCCCAAGCTCTCTCGGACAAGGACAGGGAATTTTTTCCTGATCTACCAGAGCCACATGCCAGGAATGGAAAGCTAAAGAATGCAGCTCATTTTCTCAATGCACTGTAAAAGTCTCTTTCTTTTAAAGACAATTCATTGAATAAAGGTCCTGGACCTGGAAAGTGTAGGTTTTCTAGGAAACAATGCAACAGACTGTGTAACAAAGAATGAGGAAAACCCAAGGCAATAGTTTGGGTTAAGTTATTAGAAGGTGAGATACTTCCAAAGAGAAAAAGCAGCTCTGTATCAGCTTTGCTTGCCAGAATCAATGCCTGTGGACCTAGACTGATGTGTGGAAGCGAAAGCTTCATCCAATAAAACCGTGTACCAGGGCTGCAATTGCCTTGCATGCATCTGTGGGGTAAGGGATACGTTTTGGAGCAGAGACAACAACCACACAAATGATACTAATTTCAGATCATTCATACTTACTGCTTGGCTACGTTCAAAAACACCCCATAAGTGAAATGTCATTAATCGGAACACTCTGTCCACTGCAATTTGCAGCAAATTCAAAGCTATCATATGGCATCTCAATCTGGCTTTCCAAATCTCATGTGCTGAGCCAAGGTAATGTTCCACTCATTTCCCTGAATTAGTATAACTTTTTCACAATAGAGCTGCCTCTAACACAAAAGGGAATTGCCAAGAGGATATTATTAGGTGCTAAGTTCCTTTCATTTGCATCAGACCAACCATGATGTAAACATTTCCCCAAACGCACTTGCTGTCACCTCTCCTGTGCTGAATTTACAAAGAGCCTTAGATTGTAGATTAAGTTCTGTAGTAAACGCTGTTCAAGGGAAACTATTTTTACCGGCTTTGATGAGGGCTCAGGCAAAATTGTTTTCCCACATAGTTTTTGATAAACAAATATTAACCGTGTTCTGGACTTTTTCAATACCGGCTCTAAGAAAAGAACAAGAAAAAGTGAAAAGATAATTTTTGAAATAATGCTGGAAACAGGATGTGTTGCCAGATATGCATTTAAAGGGAAAACGGATCACAACAGGAAACATTTCCCTGTGAACAGGTTGCTACAGTTTTCCCATGTCAAGGATCGACCAAATTCATCTCAGCAACTGCAAACATTACGCTGGCAACCATTGTATTAATAACTCTGTATTAACAGTCACAGCTACGATTGCACAATACTTACTCCCATACTGTAATTTCCAAATAAGAATGGGAATATTTCAGACAGCTCAAACGCAGCGTTGCAGAGACTTCTTTCAACCCAAGTTAACCAACTGCACATCACCACCCTTGCTTCCAACATGCAAATATCAACTCGGATAAGGTTTGCTAGAAAAATAGGGAGGCAATTCCCTCGTTATTTACCTATAACGGAGCCGTTAAGGAAAAGTGCAACTCCAAAGAGGACGCCGATGCAGAGAGCGAGAATGAAGGGCCGCCGGCGGCCCCAGCTCAGCGTGCAGCGGTCACTAGCTGAACCTATGAGCGGAGTGAAGATCAAGCCCAGGATAGGGCTGAGGAACCACGTGAGGCTGTAGTATTGCTCAGGAAGACCTAAAATAGAGACAAGAACGAGTTGAAGGTTACGGGACGCACAAAACATTTCGCTTCGTACGTGGCGTCTTCTTACCCTTCGGCAAATTAAAGGGTGACTTACCTATAAGGTGCCCTCTTCCCAATTCACCACTGGATTAGATGCTAACATACAAAATATACCACATGCAAGCACAAAATACTTGGGATAAAATTGAAAAATGGGCATCAAAAGGAAAAGCAATTATTTGCTAACTTTAGCGAGTGCCTAAGGAGCTTGCTGACCTCTGCAGTGGACTAGCTGCAGGATGGGACAGAGGCAAGGATTTATTGTGCAGTATTTAGCTGGGAAAAAAAAACTGCTGGAAAGGGTGAAGTTTGGAGAGGGAAAGCTGCATGAAGTAGGAAATTAATAATAAAACCCCTGTTCTACTCTCGTTAGCATGGGAAAGAGTGGCCTGCAGATGGCAGAGTGGATCACAAGAGATGCTACACTCGGCTCGTGTGCGATCGTCTCATGGGTTAAGCAGCACAAACCTGGTAACCTGTTTGATAGCCTGAATGCTGCTGCTCGTAGAGTCCTGGACCGGCATGTGGACACAGGATCGGGAAAGAGGGAATGTTGAGCACAAGGCACACAATACTAACCACGGGGCAAGGCAGGGTTTGTGTGGAAGTGGACATTTGTCACCGTATCAGCAACATCGGTGAGCTTTCAGAGAAGTACAGAATGGTTGAGGTTGGAAGCGGCCTCCAGAGATCATCTAGTCCAGCCCCCCTGCTCCAGCACAGGGTGGCATACTTATACATATTGATGAGATCCACTCTCAGCCTTCACTTCTCCAGGGAAAACAGGCCCAACTCACTCAGTCTCTCCTCATACAAGAGATGCTCCAGTCCCATAACCATCTTGGTTGCTGTCTGCTGGACCCTCTCTAGAAGCTCCACATCCCTCTTGTCTTGGGGGACCCAGAACTGCCCCCAATACTCCAGGTGTGAGCTCCCCAGAGGAGTGAGAGATTCTCACTCTCTTTGCCGAAATACTCTGCTATCACACGCGAGTGGGTTGTGCATGGAGAATGGAGGCAGGTTTCAGCAGCGACAACAAGGAGACGAGGCGCGTGACAGGACAGCTCTCTGTCCCCACACTGGTGCTGCCACCACGCTGTGTTTCCCAGTGTTCTGGGACATCCGACTGCTTCCCAGAAATAACACCAGCTCTATCGCAAATGATTTCTTCTCCATGGAATCAGCATAACCCCTTTGCAAAGATTTTCTCTTCAACTGTACAAACTGCACGTTTCTCACTTAGAAAGACTGGTGCTTTTTGTTACAGTTAATCAACTCCTATAAAAACAATGGGACATTCTTTAAAAGCAGGTTAGTGCTAGCAGATTTCTCCTGCTGGCACTACTCTAATTTCAGCACTTTCAAGGTCCACCTTGCATGCAGCAACTAGAAGCCAGATTAAGCTTACATTGCAGATATTCTTCCTAAGAAAGAGATGGAGTCTCCTGGATCTTCATCCTATCCTCATGGGGTGGCTTTTGTAGTTTAAAATAGCACTAGATGTTTTGATTTAAACTAGAAAATGACACACAGACAAGAAGAAATCCAACCCCAAAATGCTTCTCCCTAAAGAAGACTGTTTTGCTTTTAGTATCTCAGGTGTCTGCATAAGTGACATATGTATTTAGGTTGGCAGGCAAGGCCTGGCAGCAGAAGCAATGGAAATAAGGAAATGGACATTTGAAATATTTTTATATTTTATATATATATTTATAGATACATGCATTAGAATATGTATACTTTTGTAAACTTCTTATAGCTATATATAAAAGTTTGCTGCCTGAGGATAAACTCAGTCAATTAAATGTCACAGAAATCATGACCTGGAAGGGTGCTCGGGTGTCCAAGGTGGTACCTACACACCGTAACAGTCCTTCTCTGCATATGTATCTGTTACTATCCCTATCCAACTCATTTCATTCAATAATTACGAAGGAGAGGACAGTGAGGAAGGAAACCCAGGCACACAGGAGTAAGACGTGAAGAAATGAAGAGACATTGTGAATTCTGGCACTGAGAAGGTCCTCCTGATGCCACCACCTAGCAGTAGGGACACAGATGCAGTGCAGTATTTTAAATAAATCTGGCTGAAGCGACATGAATCCAGCAGTCCCACAGGATGCAGCCTCTGATGTGCGAAGCAGATGCAGTGATGCCAGGCGATTAGAAACTAAAGGCAGTTATTTACACAGGTAATTATTTAGAAAGGGGATTATTCAGCATTTAAATGACAGCTAATCTCAGGAAACACTGAGAAGAAGGGAAGAATGAAGGAACACGCTGGGGTATTTTTCAAGGTTTGTGAATAGGGTCACATGTCGACCTCCAAAATCTCCTCCGAATGGGTGAGAAAAAATTAAAAATAAAGCGGAAAATACCCGGTCGTCGCCGGGGCTCGCGCCAGCAGCCACTGAGACCCGTGTAACGTGGCATTTCCCAGCCGCCTACAAACAAACAGGACACTGGCTGCTAGTAAATAAGGGTTTGTTTTTTTTCCCAGGCCCCACTAGAAAAAAAAAAAAGAAATAATAATAATAATAATAATAATAAAAAAGGGCCCAACAATAGTGGGACCCGCGGGGCTCGCGGTTCACAGGAAATACTCGCTGTGTCACCAGCGGCCTCGGGGCTGCGGGAGGTCACGAGGCACGGGGAAGAAAGATTAGGTCGCCCGTGGCAGCTCCTATTCAAACCCCTTTCTTTGATAAGTTCTATAGTGGGGGGGGGGGGGGGTAAAGAAAAAAATAGGTCTTTATGCGCTGAACAATGAGATCTGATATGGGAATAGGATGCAATGGGGTCGCCTTGTCAGGAATCGTCACCTAGCCCCTTGTTTATGCTCCTAAGTAAACAGCAGGCGCGTTTCCGCGTGGCCAGAAAGAAGCCGCCGGGTTCTGCGGCCACGTTGGAAATACCAGAGGCGGCTAAAAATACTCCCCATCGACGTGTTTACAGCCCAGCGGTGGCACGAGGCGCTTTGGATTTAAAGAGCACCACAGACAAGGCAAAGTGATGGTTTTCAGGGGTACTTTTAAGGCTGGCAGCAGAGGAGAACGTGAACAGCCCCTGGTTTGCATCCTTAACGCTGCATCTGTGGACGGGTGAGAAAGGAGAATGGTGGGAAATGCATGGAGTCTTAATGCATGGAGCATTAGTCTGCAAATGCAAGAAGCTACAATAAAATCGTGGGCTTTGGTTTTATATGGAAGTTTTGCCCTTAATTTACTCCCGCCCTGACCACGTTTGCTCATTCTCACCACATTTTCTGAGCATAAACTACCATCAGTTGGTAAAAACTCAGTCTTCTTTCCCTCTGCTTTCTAGCTCCTCATTAGCAGGGATCTCTGAGGGATGGTCAGGGTGCTCCTGGAGACCTGAGGATGGGGCTGCCTCCTCCACAGGCATCTGCCACTGGCACCATCCAAGCCTTTCCCGCAGTTTCATGCCTTTAAAATGCACTGACATTTCTGCTTTAGCTGTACCAAATTGTAGGAAGAACAGGGCTATAGATAAAAACTGGAGGTGCAGTAAGTGGGGAGGTTTATGATGCAGGACTTCAGAGGAGCTGGAAAACTTGTGCAAGCTTCATTTCCTTAGAAGCTAGATGTCAAGAAACCATGCTTTTAAAGCAGGAAATTTCCAGGAATTTGGAAAAGTTTAAAATGGTTTTTGCTCTAACTGGTGCAATAAAATAAAACTCTCACTCTCCTGCTCCAACAGCTTCAGCAGGGAAATGCTAGTGGGTGAGTTCACATCCAGAGGCCTGGATGGGCTTTTATGCCATGAAAGAGTCATATCACCTTGTTGCAAAGCTATTTCTCCCTTCAATATAGAAAGAGCTTTAAAAATTTGCCATGCAGCAGTGTGGCAGCAGCAACCACACTGGATTAACTAACATTTGTGGAAAATGACATTGAAGAATTGAGCTATGGGCTTCTTAAAGGATTTCACCATCACCCAGTTCTGCCATTTGCTGTCTCTGGTCATTATTGTTCCTCAACCTCCTGTTATCTTCCTTCCCTCCTCATCTTTGGCCAGGGTGGGAGGTAGCAGCGTTTCATTAGGTCCTGCCACTATATTGCCATTCCACCAAACGCTGAAGAAAGGTTTATGGGGCTTTGATGACAGTTTCTTATTTATAACGGGGTTTTATGGTGCTGTGTCAGGAAAGAGAAGCACCCAGAGAAAAAGGGAGCCAAGGTTTGTGTGTGAAGGGGGAAGTAACAGAATAAGAACTGAACACTGAAGGGCAGCAGTGCAGCTGCCAATAAAATGCTGTCCAATAAAGCTTTTAAAGCTCTATTTTCCTATTTCTTTAAGGTTATTGCCCTCCTACTAGCTTACATCTACATGATAACTATAGAAGTCAGGTAGAAGATGATTTCCAACCTATGACCCTTGCAACAGTCCAGCTTCCTACCTCCTCCTATGCTAAATCCTGGCACTTCCAGGAGCTCCTCTCATCACTGCTCCGGATCAGCAGCCACCTGGACCATACGTGCCGTGCTATGGCCTTCTTGGGCAGCTTTGTTTCTCTCAACCCAATATTTAACTAACGCGTTGTGTTGACCACTAGCAAAGCGCGGGGCTCCCAGCAGATGCTGCTGTTGGTAAATCCCTTTACCAACCTAATCCCTGCCTCTCCAGTATGGGATGTCATCAAAATGCAGCGGCCGCTACGAGGGCACATGGGGCATCCCTGGTGCTGTCGTCACCCCCTCAGGAACGACGGGCCATTTCCCAACAGGAGCAGGAGCACTTTGGAACCGCCGTGTACGCGGTGTGCAATCCCGCAGCACAACTCGCTGCATCGCAAGGGACAGCCTCACTCCTCAATTCCCATTCCGTGCAATATGATTTTTTTTTTTCCCCTGCAATCCCCCAAATCCTTGGAGACCACGAAGGATCCGGTCCTTGCTGCCAAGCAAGTGCCTGGCAGGTACTTCGCTCCT